TGTCAGGGGCTCTTGTTAGGGACCCCATGAAAGTACTGGAGCGAGGGCTGATGGGTGGTAGGTGGGGACTGACAGTGGCGCTTGTCAGTTTAGGGTGGGGGCAGTGAGGGGCAGCAGTTATGACTGAAAGAGGAGGAGAGATGAATAGGAGGTTAGCAGCTGATGCCCCCTGCCTACACTCAGGCCTCACCTCTTCACCAGGAGGGCTGAAGGCCTCCTGCCCTGGATAATCCAGTAAGCGGTGGTCAGGAGAAGGTGGGCTCCGGCCTCTGGGTGACCCGTGGGGTGGAGTCCTAGCTTGGGTCAGGAGCAGGGTAGCTCTGCTACATAGCTGGTGACTTGCAGACCCCCTGGGGTGACTGTGGTCATCATTTACCCTGCGACCTAGAATTGAAGTTGACAAGGTAGTGAAGGTGCTGGGCTTCGTAGGCCACAGATCTCCTTGTTAGCATTCAGTTCTGCAATTGTGCCCCCAAACCAAACCAAAAACCCAGCCACATGTGTGAGTGAGTGACTGCAGGCAGTAATGAGTGGACCTTGTGGCTGGGTAAGGTTTTATTTACAGAAGTGGACTGCAGGAACCTGGTTTGCCCTGGAGGAACACTGTCATGTAATACTTGGTTGAGAAAATGTGGTCACTGCACCTGTTGGAGAATTAAGCCAGGATCCTGGTTTTCTTGGCGAGGAGGGCAGGGAGTGAACCCCCAGGAACTATTTCTGTCTTTTGACACAGGGCCAGTGGCGAGGAAGGGCCTGTGCCAGGCAGTTTTCTCACCGCCCTCTGAGAAGGGCAGTTGAGCCTCCGCCGTGCCCTCTGTCTCGGGACTGCGCTAGCTGAGGGCCTCCAGGCGTACTTTGACTCTTGCCACCCCCCTTGGGCAGGCCCGGGAGGATGTAGGGTAGCTTTGCAAACTTGCACCTTTATGTGTACAGTTGCTCATTTTGCAACTTTAAAGATACTTAAAATTACTGTGACAGTTTTAATATTGTAAAACTAGTTCATGTTCTCTGTAGAAGATTTTTGACAGTATAAAAGAAATGAAGAATTTTGACAGAATTGAACATCCGGCCACCCCGAGGAAGCCATGAGTTGTTAGTCTCTGGCATTGTTTTGTGACCTGCTTGGATATTTTGTTTGTCAACAAACACCTTTCCTGCCACATAGCGTAACATTCCATTCTGTGGTTACACTGTGGGATTCATAGCTGAATTCTCACACATACCCACTTTTAAGGTAACGCAGTTAGAGGGGCTTGGGAAGGAGAGGGGACAGGCACTTCTGGTGTGGGTCTTGGGGGAGGTGGGGTGTGGCTGGTGAGACCTGGACTCACCAGGCCTCACTGGGACTGGCTGACGGGAAGAGGCCCTTTTCTCTGCTTCTCTCGGGATTCTTTTCCTGGTATACACTGGCCTTTGAGAATCGATAGCATGGAGGGGATTTCTGACTCGCTGACAGAGGCCCTGAGGCCGTAGGTGGAAGTCTGGAGTCAGGTACCTGAGGTATTTGAGTGCCCACCCTGGTGTGGCCCACACAGCACAGATCTTAGGGTCATCTGCGATTCATAGAGTTTGGTTCACAAGGGTTCCCAATACACATTTATTCTTCTGAGTCCTTAGAGGAAACAGTTAGCTGGTTTTTCCTTTTCCTCAAAGCAAAGTAGGAAAATCTCAAGGACATAAGGGTTATGGAGGATAAAATTGAGGTGTTTATACTTAAAGGGGCCATGCTTGGCTGGGAAGGGGTGGAAGCCATCACTAGCCCTCCCAGGTATCACTGAGGTCATTAGGGAGCTCTGCAGAAGAGTGGCTGAAGGGACAGTCCTGAGAGCCTGTGGTGGCCACAGTGTTGTCTTTATGCTCACTCCCTTCTGACTTGTTTCTTGGAATCTTAAAGGAACCATGGGAAGAGAAGGGACAGGTGCAGGTGTCAGCAGCACGGCAGAAGGGCTCTGAAAGCTCTTTAGGAAGGTCCACGGCAAGGCATCCTCACGGAGATTGGGGACTCTGGTTGTCAGGGCTTCTTTCGCACCGTCTGTTCCCAAGGTGGGAAGGTGCATTTACTTCAGTTCTTTCTCTCTCTAGAGAACGATTGTATTGACTTCTTCCATAGCAGTTTAGCATGTTAGGACCAAGAAGGGGCCTGGTAAGCCACCCAGCGCTCTGGCTCCTGAAAAGGGACAGAAGAGGCTAAGTCACGTGGCTCGTGATAGGCTGAGGCCCCAGGTCCAGCTCTGAGGACAGCATCTCCGCTTGGGCAGGTCCCTCCTCTGCCTTGGCCTGTGGTCCTGGCACCTCCTGGTGTCTGTGCCCATTCTAGATGAGCCTGTGCGCTGCTGTGCTTTGAGTGCTGGAACCAGGGTATAGGTCATCCCGGGTTTGCAGCACCCAGCCCTGCCCAGCAGGAGATGTTAGTGAAGGGCACAGGGACTTTTTCTCCTGGTCCTAGTTAGTGGGCCTTCCCAAATGTGTGTACCCATCCCTCCCCCCAGGGCCTCATTGGTCTGCGGTCGCTGGCCCTTTCAGAGAGCAGAGTTATTCACGGGCAGGGCTCCCCGCACGATGCTGCTGATGGTCCCATACGTGAAATCATGGTGCTGACAGGGTCCGTGTGTGAAATTGTGTGGGGCTGTCATGAAGATGCCCTCTGCTGTAGTGGAGTGCCTGTTCGTGAGCTATGGGTCACATTGGGATTGAGAGTTAGGAATGGTTCTTGAGAACCAGGGTGAGAAAAGTTAGGGAAGGTGCTTCCTTGGGCAGGTGTTGGTGTTGCACCTGGCTGCTTCCTTGAGGGCAGAGACTTTCTGCAGAAAGCCGCTGTGTTGGAAGGGCTCAGTGGTTGGCACGGCCCCTGCGTGGCAGTAAATGGTGTTTGCCAAAGGTGTGGGTGTGGGGGCCTCTGGTTTTGAAATCCACATGGAATCTGCTCACAACAGCAGGGTGTGTTTATCAGCAACATTTGCTGATTTGAAGAAAGAGCCTTTGCTCCTCTGCTCAGAAACCCACAAGAGAGCTGTCTGTCCACTGAAGCCGACTTTGGGCCTGGGGTCTCAGGGAGGCTTAGCCCTGACTTGGAGCTCCCTGGGTGCCTTGGGTGCAGCTATTTATTTATGCAGGAGGGGGGCGGAGCTTTGGTTTTGTACTTTTTCTTTTTTTTAGGTGACTTATTTGTCATTTTGAAAGTAGGATATGTGAGCTTAAAAAGGTTAGGAAAAAGAAGGAAAAACAAATAAAAAGGTTAGGAAAATAAATAGCAGAAAAGATCATTTCTGTTGATAGTTCCGAAAGGCAGGAACTTAATGCTTTTGCTCAACTTACATAACATCGTCCTTCTTTTGAATTGCTTGGTTTTCTAAGCATTGTTGTAAAGTAGGCATGCTTCAGCCTGCTGTGGACTTGTTTTAGGAGCTCAGAGAGTTGCTGCTGGGTTCTGCTGGATCCCAGAGCTGCCTTGCTCCTGCGGCAGGACCTCAAATGGATTCTTATTTATTTATTGGCAGTAATAGAGATGGAGCTCAGGGCCTCACACTTGCTGGGTAGGCACTCCACCACTTTGAAGTGTACCCTGGCCCGTTTTGCATTGGTGATTTTTGGGATAGGGGCTCACTGTATGCCTGGCCCGGCCTGGACTGCAATCCTGAGGGGTAACAAGTGCACACAATTGTTGAGATGGGCCTGTAACTTTTTGCCCAGGCTGGCTTTGAACCAACCCTTCATTCTCTCCTACCTATCTCCCAAGTAGGAGGATTACAAGCTTGAGTGCAGATGGGGTTTTAAAATGAAGCTTCCATTAGTGCGGTGGGCCAGAAGTCACTCACCAGCTGTGTTGTAGTGAACCTTTAGTGTGGAGCTATGTGAACTTGGATGGGAAATTCAGGCAGAATGAGTTTAAGCCTGAAAACAGTCTGAATTAAACAGGTCCTAGATGGACTTTCCGGAGAAGAGTTGACTTCAGAGAGCAGGCGTGGTGAGGATTTGGAATTACTAGAATTTGTGGGCTTTCGGTCTCTATCCTGGTTATCTGGATTGACTTACGGGGCGCTAGGATCCCTGGGACCTGGGCTGAGGTGGACTGTTCTGGAGCCACTGGCATGGGTCCCTCTGGCCAGATGTGGCTGGGCTCCTGCCTCTGCCATCACATCTGTGATAGCTCTTTCCATCGCCTCCTCCTCCCCAGGGTCTGGAGGCCTGGTGTGCTTCTACCCCTGGACTTGAGGGTGGTGAGCAAAGTGTAAATGTGTGTGGCAGGTGCTCTGCTAGGCGGGCAGAGTTGGGGCCTCCAAGCTGAGAGCTGGCACCAGGCCCTTTTGAGCTCTGATTGTGAGCTCTCTTCCTGGTCCTAGACTTTGAGTCTGTGAGGCTCACTCTTCTTCACTGCTGTAAATCTCAGGAGTGCAGAGTGGAGTCCCAGGGTGTGATATGGTACCTGGGGGAAGCTCCTTTTCCCTCCCATCTCTTTCAAAGGGATGGTCACCATCTCCAAACTTCCCTGGCTTGGGTTAGAGGATGTGTGGTCATCTGTGCTTGAGCAGTACCTTGTCCTTGTGAGTTGGTGGGTCATTTCACTAAATGCTGCAGCTTGTTGAGGGGTGTAAGGCTTCAGGCAAAGAAGTAGTGTTGCAGGCTTTTAATCGAAGCATTTATTAGTACAGTGGTTATCTCTGAGTTCCTGGCTGTTGTTTCCCGTGCCTCAGTTTCCCTGATGTGTCCTGCCTCACCTCTACACCCCTCTCCTCCTGGCTTCTGACTCTCTTATCTCCAGACTTGGAGCAGATCTCATGTCCTCTGCTGCTGTGGCCAGGACGCTCCTGGAGGTGCCAGGGTGGGGTGGGGGGCTCTGCTGCGTTTGCTTCGTGCCTCCAGCATGTCCACAGGACTTGTCTTAACCCCTGCTCATGCCCCGGGAGCAGTTAATGACCAGCTAGCCGTGCCTTGCTGCACTGTGGACAGCGGGTTACACCGTCTTTGGCCCTGGCCACATTACAACCTGTGCTTCACCATAGGGGACGGGAGTGCCCTGGAGGTCTACAGCGGCCTTCCCCGTCTACACGACCCTGGTGTCCACTTGCTCTTCGTGCCGGGTGGGACTTCCCTGTGTGCTACCCTGTGCATCTCGACGGCAAGGTGAAGACATTGGCTTGGTGACTAGAGGAGGCTGACAGTGGGCTGACCCTGGGGTCAGGCACCAGCTCTGCTCCCTGTCTGTGGGTGTCCCTCCCAGGCGTCACTGGGAAAAGCATGAGTAGTTGGAAAGGGACGGGTACCCCAGCCTCTGAGGGTTGGGGTGAGGCACCAGCGTAACGAGTGGCCCCTGGGCTCTGAAACGACTACTGTGGGCGGGAACACCCTCACCAAGAGCGCAGTTTTGGTGCGGAGGGAAGAGCACTAGAGCAGGGTCAGTGCACACAGTAAACTCTGGTGCTGCCAGCTCCTTGACCTCCTGTGTGGTGCAGGTGAGGAACCACGTGGGAAGTGCCTCGGCTGTCTTCAGTTCTGCTCGTTGCCCTGGAGAGTCTGCCTTGGGCCTTAGTCGTTCCCCTCTCTCTCAGTCAGCCTTGACCAATGGAGAAACCAGTTTCCTTCGGTCCAGAGCTTGGTGTGGAGCTGGTCAGAGGGAGTGCAGTCCTGTGTGAGGTGTGGCGCCCCTCTCCCTGACTTGGCCTCCTCTCTTTTAGCCCTGAAGGATGGCTGCCTTGTTGGGAGATGCCATCATGGTGGCCAAAGGCCTGGCTAAGCTGACCCAGGCAGCCGTGGAAACTCACCTGCAGCACTTGGGCCTCGGTGGGGAGCTCATCATGGCGGCCAGGACCCTGCAGTCCACTGCTATGGAACAGATTGGCCTGGTTTTGGGGAAGGTGCAGGTAAGCGGGCCTCTCCCAGCAGTGGGTGTGAGTGCTGGTGGGAAGCAGGCCTGGTGGGCCAGGGGCTTGGACACAGACACCCGGTGGCTGGGCTTGTTGCAGACAGGACCAGACAACCCAGTGGCTAGCATGTCCTGCTGTCCTTCTGTGGTCTCCGTGTGAAGGTATGGCTGCTGTAACAGGATACCACAGACTGGGAGCTTGAACAACAAGCATTTATGTCTCACGGTTGTGTGAGGCTGGCACAGTACCCAGGCTTCTGGTCAGTGTCAGGTCCGGCCCCTCCCCTCCTGCCAGGGGTGATGCAGCATCTGTCACCGGACACTGATACCTTTAACTTTTAGAGATTTTTGTACCCATGTGGTCCCTCATCACTGTCCTGGGATGGGACAGGCCTAGATGCTCACGCCCCATTTCTCAGAAGAGGAAACAGACCAAGCTGTTTGCTGTGAGACTGTGACTACTAAGTGTCAGGGACCGAGGCCCTTGTTCCAGTCTCAGCCATGCTCCCTATTCTTACCCTCCGTGTGCTGGGCTGTGGCTCTGACCATCCTTTTGTGGGGAGGAGCCTTCCTGCTGGGTGTTGGGCCTGTGGAGCCCTAGGGAGAGCTTGCCCCAGTGCCCTCGGTCGTCCCAAGGTGAGACCACAAGCTAGACCTGTCGCTGCTGCCTCCATGAGAGTGGGAGCTCCTCCTGGCCCCCCTTGTCAGGCTTGGTAGGAGTCTGGAAGATGTGGGGCCATCTCCCCAGCAGTCACTGCAGGTGGGAGGGAGTGATGGTCCAGCGTGATGGAGGAGGCCCCTGAGCAGGTGACCGCCTTGCTTCCATTCCTCCCCTCACCTTGCTCCCTGAGGAGCTGAGAGTCTGATGACTCTGGGACGCTGAGTGCCTGTCATCTCTGAGAGACTTGCTCATGCACTCATTCAGTAGGCACTCACAGAGGCATGGGATACTTTGCCATGGCCATGTCAACAGATGGAGCAGTCCCAGTGGGCCAGGTGGCCATCGTGGGAGTTACAGGGAAGGAGTGGACCCTGCCCCAGACTCCTCACTCCAGAGCTTCCCTGCTGGCTGAGGGGTGCCTACTGAGTCCAAATGTCATTTGCTTCTACTCTGAGCAAAGTAGGTTACCTGGGGGTGGCTGGCAGGGCAAGCCTTGGCCTTAGACCCCTGCTCTGCCATTTGCTGGCTTTTGTGACGTGCCCGTACCAGTCAGCTCTCAGTGTGTTTTGATTTGTGAAACAAGAGTAATGGGCAGTCTGTCCCCGCCCATGGGCAGTGAAGGAGTCTCACCTCCCCAGACCCTGGGGCACCCTGCTGTGTCTGCCTGACTCCCAGCAGCAGGTTGCTGAGACATTTCATCCATTTCAGTTGTACCAGGGAATCAGGCCATTGGCCTCCCTTCCGGGTGTGTGCTGTTTGTTTATGTCCTCCGTGCACGGCCTTGGCCTTGGCTATGACCCTCTGTCACTCTGTGACTGTGGGAGCCCTATTTTCAGATGAAGTAGTAATAGAGAAGGGTTAGCAGCTCATTCAAGGGTCATCCAGGTTCACAAGGCCCGAAGGTCAGGCCTTTGGGACTTACAAAGAAAACATAGGGTGTGCTCTGCCCCCTTCCCCTGTACCCCAAACTGCCAGAAATAAGCAGTCCTGGTCCTGGCTGTGACCACCTCTCCAGCAAGAGCCTGTTAGCCGCATGCCTACTTCTACAGTGAGGTTCAGACTGGAATAAGCCAGGTGGTTCCTGTCTGGGCACCCCCCTCACCCCTCACTGACTATTTTTGTCTCTGAAAGCTTTCCTTCCCCCAAACCCAGGAGGTAAGGAACTGTCTGCCTGGGAGAGGTGTGTGCCTGGCCTGGCTGGGCCTGTGGTAGGTGCTCTGTGGCATGGCAGACTGTAAGCCTGGCAGAAGCAGGCTGGAGCCCTGCCCTGGCTCCTGGGCCCAGAAGGGGGCTTGGGTCTTATGTGTAGTGTGGTGGTACATCTGGAGAATCAAAGAGGAGGGTTGACACAGGGAGGAGCTCCAGCTACTCCTTCGCCTCTCATGCTGGCCTTTGCTCCCTGCAGGGACAGGATAAGTATGAAGAGTCTTATGCCACTGAGGGCTTCGATGACCTGGAAGCCGAGGTCCAGTTCTCAGGCCTACAGGCAGCTGGAGCCTCCCTGGACTTCTCCGCTGCCTCCACCCCAGGCCAGTCGCCGTCTCCAGCCCTGGGTCATGCCCACCGCGAGGGCCCGGCTCCTGCCTATGCTGCCAGCGGATTCTTTAGGGAAGCTGGGCTTCCAGGCCAGGCTGCCTCCCCTCTGGGCAGGGTCAACGGACGGCTCTTTGCAGACCCCAGAGACTGCTTCTTGGCCATTGGCGCCCAGCGAAGGTTCTTCCACCAGGACCAATCCCCCATGGGGGGTCTCACGGCTGAGGACATTGAGAAGGCCCGGCAAGCCAAGGCTCGCCCAGAGGGCAAGCCACACAAGCAGATGGTGCGTCTGGAGACTCCCTGGGGTGGGCTGGGTGGCTCCCAGTCACGGTGGTGCTGGTGTCGGCCCCCATTCGGATTCAGGGCCGTTTTCTGGATGCCGTGGTCATAGACCATGGTTTAGGAACTTGAGGCCTCTTGGTGGAGTGCTGCCCCGTGGGGCGGCTTCTCGGGTGGAGAGGGAGGTGGGGGCTGCCAGCCCGAGGTTGCCTTGTTCTGTTTGCCCATCCCACATGTCTCTTTGCCTCCTCTCCAGCTCAGCGAGCGGGCTCGGGAGCGGAAGGTGCCAGTGACGCGGATTGGACGGCTAGCCAATTTTGGAGGTGAGGTGGCCGGGTGCCCTGTGCTGCCCCTCCTGCCCTGTCTGTCCCGCATGGAGGTGGAAGGGCAGGGGATCTGGGTTGGGAGCAGTGGGTTACTGCCCTCGTATTAATCGTTGGGGGCTGGGTGTCCCATGGGCAATGACCCAGTTGCTGGACTCCAGCCCCTCCTTGCTCAGCCCTAGTCCCTTGCCATGAGTTGCAGCATTGGGGCTTCTCACTGGGCCATTTAGCCCTAAACAGTGCTTTTACCCCTGAGACCACCCACTTGGGAAGCCAGTTGCCTCATCCCCAAGCCCTGCAGCTGTCAGTAGAGTGACACCGAGAGACTGGCCCCGTGCTGCCTTTGCTTGAAGACATTTCAGTGCTGCAGGCATGGGAGTTCAAGTGGCTGCTGCGCCCAACACACTTGTGCCCTGTTAGTACACTTTGAAGGACACTTAGTGAGAAGCTGCTTTTTCATACCGTAAGGCCTCCCTGTTGCTTATCCAGTGGCCATGGAGCTGCTGTTGAGAGGCTGCCTCCTTTGTGGGGTGCACTCTGAAATGGGCTCCTGGCAGTGCAGCTCATTAAGGCACAGCTGTCCTCAGGAGGCTCTGCAGGCAGTGTAACTAAGGAAGGAACAATTTTGGCAGTTCGATGCATGGGTGGCCTTGGGTAAGTGGTTATTTTTGGGCTGTATGTAACAGGCCTGAAAGGTTCGTGGTGATGCTAGTGCAGAGTGGTTGTAAGACCTGAGATCACGTCGGCCCTTTGCCTGTGTCACCGTCATTTGTGCTGCTCCACTATTGCCTCTTCTCTTTGGAAACCCCATTCTGCTAGGCAGCTTCCATTGCTGTAACAAAATACCTGAGATAATCAACTTAAAGGAAGAAAGGGTTATTTTGGCTTTGGTTTCATGAGTTCAGAGGTTTCATCCATGGTTGTACAGCACTGTTGGCTCTAGGCCTGTGGTGGCCAGGACATCATGGCAGGAACACATGGCTGAGGAGCTGTTCACCTGATGGCAGCCAGAAAAAGAGAAGAAAGGGCTGAGGTCTCACAGCCCTCTTCAGTGTGCACCCGATCGCCTAACTTCCTCTCACTAGGCCTTGCCTCTTAAAGGCTCCACCACTTTCCAGTAGCTCAGCACTGGAGAGCAAGCCCTTAGCGCATGGCCTTTCGGGGGGCGTTCAAAATCCAGGTCTAGCACCGTTCCTGCTCATTCAAGACTGGCTGTTGGCAGGCCCCACACACAGTTCCCTGGAAGGGTTCTGATGTTGAGTGAGGACTGGTTCTCAGTGTACAGAGCACACGAGCCCGATTGCATACAACTTCCCCAAGTGTAAGCTGCTCTTCCACAACTGTCATCCTGACATTTGACATAAGAACTTAGTATAAAATACAGCTTTATTTCTCTTGAAACCTTTCCTCGTGGACTGTCACAACCTCCTCGGGTTCCACCAGAATTTGAGTTTGAGAGCCACTGCCTAACCCTGGAAGACGTGGCACATTGTTTGCTGGCACAGTGGCCAAGAGTTAGCCACTTGTGTTAGCTGCGGTTAGCTTTTGTTGTGTTTGTACATGGGAGGTTTGAACAGGGGCTCACTGTGTAGCCCAGGCTGGCCTAGAACTTGTGATCCTCCTGCCTCGGCCTCCCCAGTACTGGGATTATAGGAGTGCCACCACACCTGGCTCACATTATTTCTTATCAAAGTGTTGCCTGGTGGCTGTCATCTCTTCCTGGTGAGTTTGTGGGCCATGTGTAGTTTTTCTTGAGAGCCCCTTTTCCCCTCCCTGTAGTCTGTGGGGAGCCTTGTTTGGGAAGTGGGGGTTGCCGTGTTTTAGACTGGGTGTGGTCCTCTCCTGGGAGGGTTTGTGGAGGAGAACTGGGTGATGGAGGCTGTGCCTGGAACAAGGGCTTAAGTCTAGGTGGCGAGTTAGAACTTGTGAAGCACCATGAAGTCCTGGTGAGGCGGGTTGAGGAGGACGGAGACTGAGGTGGAGGAGGTTGGGTAGGAGGATGTGTAGAAGGACAAGAACCCTTTAGTTGGACAGGGTGGGGGCTCGCTTCAGAGGGACAAGGCGGGGAGGAGAAGCCTGGTCTGCGTGGGTGCTTTCCACAGAAGAATCCCCTGGAGCTTTTGCTGATGCCTGGAGCCATCCTGAGGGTCTGTGCTGCCGTCCACAGCTGCGATTCAGGGTGATTGGCGGGCAGGGTTTGAGGATTAGAGATGGCAGGACGGGAGCAAAGATACCGGTCGGGGAGAATGTGCTATTCTGGCTATCGGTCCCACCACCGTGCACGAGGCCCTGGGTTGTTTGATCTCTCTCTCTCTCTCTCTCTCTCTCTCTCTCTGTCTCTCTCTCTCTGTCTCTCACACACACACAGACAAAGTAGAATGGGATGCAGCAGAGAGCTCAGAATTAGTATCGCCCATCCATAGAGAGAACTGCTCGCATTGCAGCAGGACCTTGGTTTCACAGATAGAAACCTGCGTGTAAGGAGCCTCCTTGTGACCAGGGGTCACAGCGTGGCTTTATTCCGTTCTTCTGAAAACACTTCTGGCCTTTCTTACCCTCATTGGGGTGAGGTGTTTTTGGGTGGTAGTAAGGAAAAGGGATGGGTGGGAAGGAAAGGGATCACCCTAGCTCTCAGGGAAGTAGGACACTGAAAGCACCCAGGCAGGCATTTGGGGAGGTCAGTGGCCTTATTGGTGAGGAGATGGAGGCTGGACTCCTTATTTCAGCTTGGGTGTGGGACATATGGCTGTGATATTGTTGGAGTGTGATAGTGTGGATATTACACTTTGTTAAAGAAGACTGTGAAAGATAGGATTATATATTGGATTTGGGCTCAGAACTGAGCACTAGGTCATTGTGATCTCTGGGTTATAATTACCCATCCTTCTGCCTTATGCTATTCATGGATAATCCCTCTTTTAAACTTTTGATTTGTGACTTATGCATTTTGAAACTCTATTATTGGTTCCCTACAGATTTAAAGTTCTTACATCTCCTGAAGATTGTGCCCTTTTTTTACTTTGTTATGGCCTTCTTTAATTGTATGTAAGTCTACATTGATACAGGGTGGTTCAGCTTTGTTTTAGGTATTGTTTGCATGATATCTCTTTTTCCTTCTATTTCTATCTTTTATTTAAGATACGCCTTTTGTAAGCAGCATATATAGTTGGTGTATGTGTGTGTGTTTTAAGTATAGACTGATAATTTTAGTCTTTTGTTTTGATGGGACTGGGGCTTGAAATTAGGGCTTTGTACTTGGAAAGCAGTGGCTGTACCACTTGAGCCACTCCTCCAGTCCATGTTGCTCTGGTTATTTTGGAGAAGGGGATCTTGTGAACTATTTGTCCAGGCTCGAACCCGATCCTCCTGATCTCTGCCTTCCAAATAGCTAGGATTCTGGGCCTGAGCCGCTGGCTCCTGGCTTTCTTAGTCTTATAACAAGAATGTGTAGTCCATTTACATTTATCAGCAATTGCTGATGTTTTGGGGTTTATGTCTACTATTTTAATTTTTATTTACTAGCTAACTCATCTGTTATATTTCTCCCTTTCTTCTCCTTTCCTGTCTGATCTTCGAGCTACTCAAAAGGCTTTTAAAAAAATTACGACGTATGTTCTGCCTTTGTCAGCTTTGTGGTCTGTGTTCCTCTGCCGTTCTTTCAGTGGGTCCTCTTGTGATTACTGCACACACTGTCACCTCCTGCAACAGACACATGTTTAGTTTCGCCGTACCCAGAAAGGCTGTGTCTCAGAACACGTCATCTGCATGGTCCCTCTTGCTTTCTGTGTAAATGTGGATGTGCATTTTATTCCTACATGTTTTATAAAGAGGTACTGAACTCCCTTCTCTCTTTCTACTATTGGCCTGCACCCCAGCCCTGGTCGTCTTCGTGTTAGCACATAGAATTTAGATTTATGCACACATTACCTTTTTTATGTCTTCCTTCATGTTTGTAATTAAATCTGGTCTAACCTTCCTTCTCTTTTCTGCAGTCTGGTGCTCCTTATACTTTCCTTTTTCGTGTGAGCAGGTCTGTGCACTTTCCAGAAGGTCTCTTCGCTGTCTGGACTGCACCACGCTGGACACGACCCTCTGAGCAGTACACCCTGGCTTGCTTGCTTCCATTTTGTCTGTGGAAAACCTCCCTGTTCATTTTATCTTTTTGCTCCTAGGATTTTGTTTCCCTCTGTTTCAGGAGTTGGACTGTGACATGCTGGGCTGTGATTTGTTTTGCATTTATCTTGCTTGGGGCTTGTGGAGTGTCTGGAATCTGTGGCTTGATGTCTGTCACCAGTTTGGGGACACTGTGTTCTCTTTCTTCTCTCTCTGGGACTCCACTTTCGCTCACATTGGATCTTCTTCCTTTTCCTATGTCTCTTGGACTCTTCTGCACTTTCCATCCCTTTTCCCATTTGTGCTTCAGTCTTGGAGCTCAGAGGATATGTAAGCTTTCCCTAAAACAAAATACCTGAGATTTAATCTGGCCCATGGTTTCAGAGATTTCAGTTGGTGGTTGCTTGGCCCCGAGGTGAGGCTGAACATCGAGGCAGGAACTCAGGTGGAGCAGGACCACTCACCTTATCGCAGCCAGGAAGCAAAGATGCAGGGGAAAAATTCTCCCTTGCAGGGCACACCCCAGTCACCTTCCTCCTGTACCCGTGCCCCACTTCCAGGTCCATTCAGTTACGGTTTCATCCATAAGTTAGTCCACTTGAAGTTTGAGCCCTGTGATCCAGTCGCCTCTCAGGACCTATCTCTGAACTGTGCTTCTTGGGGACCAAGCCTTTCAGGGACATTTCATATCACAGTTGCAAGAGAGATGTCTTGTTGTCTCCTCTGCTCCCAGAAGGCGGGAGACACCTGGACGATTACAGAAACGAGCCATCAGTGGAGGATGTGCTGAAGGGAGTTGAGCTCTGCTTTGTGCACGCACTGTGGCGGCCACTGGGCCTTCACGCGGGAAGTTTGAGCCCTCAGTGAAGGGCAGGGGGAAGGGATAACCGCATTGAAGGGAGGAAGAAAATGCGGTGCCATAGGAGGCTGGCGGGCTCCGCAGAGGGGACCTGGAAGTTAGACACATGACAACAAACGTCCTGGTGTGAGAAAAGCATGGTGATGACTTAGAATGAACAGGAGAGTGACAGACCCTTGGGGACCCCACCCAGTTTTTTTTTCCTGCAGTGCTGGGGACTGAACCCATTTTTAAAAGGTATTTTAAAGAGTTTTTGGTTTTTTGAGACAAGGTCTCAGGGGCTTCCTATGTAGCCCATGCTGACCTGGAACTGGCTGTGCAGTCCAGGCTGGCCTTGAAAGCAATCCTCCTGTCTCAGCCTCTGGCAGGCAGGGATTACAGGTGTGTACCACCACTCCCAGCTTAGGCCTATCATTTGTAAAAGGCAAAAGGTTAAGAATCCCTCTTTCCCAGAAGCATACCTTGTGTTTAAAAATAGTTCCTAAGACTCCATTGGGTGTCACTAAAGGTAAAGTCACAGTGTACTGGCTGTCACATTAGGATCCAGGCAAAGGTTGAAATGCAAAGCTGAGAGTTTGTTGCTTACTGCCCCAAAGCCTGTGGGACATCTGGGGCACTGTGAAATGATCTCTGGGAATCATTGTGTTCTCCCCTGGACTGTGTGTCCCTTCTCAGCGGTAAAACTGAAAGCACAAACATTGGGTGACCAGGCAGAGGATGGTATTTTTAACATTTTTCCAGCTAAGAGCTTCAAAAAACCATTCCTACCATTTTACCTTTTGTAAAAGAACATTTTAATAATGCAGAAGTACAAAGGTCAGGCTCCAAGATGAAGGGTAATAAGTCAAACAATGTAGTTTATGAAACACAGTTTCTGGGCCCTGGTTGAGAGCAGTGGGATGGCTGAAGACCTTTGGCTGAGGGTCAGAACTGGGCTCTGACCTGCAGGTTGCTGCCTCTGTACACATCACTCTGCTCTGCTTCCAGGGGTTCTTGAAAAGGGCCAGTCTGTGTGTTTTGCCCCTCAGGAGCTCTGTGTTGGAGAGTAGTTTGGGTTTGTTCCCTGCAGTTACAGAGGAGGGAGCTAAGCCGGGAACTAGGCCGGCCGCCCAGGGCCCTGTGTGTATGTGACAGCCCTAGGACCAGAGCCCAGCCTCTGTTGTGTACTAGGAAGTCAGAGCTGTAGTTTTGCCCCTCCTCCCCTGCAGACACAGAGGGCTGTTTGGTCTTCTCCTCCCTTACTGGTCCAGCTCTGGGAATGGAAGGCCAGGTCCCCAGTACTTGAGAACAAGCCTCAGGGCACTTCCAGCACTGCTCCTTCCTGCTCTGTTCCCTCCCCAGGAACCGGGTTACTGAGCATTCAGGAACACCTGGAAGCAGAGGACAGCTTGTGTGCATTCTGTTTCTTGTCTTATCACATCAGAAGAATCCCTGGATGTGAGAGGCTCCTGCTGGGATATGGCTTGGTAGGGGGTCTGCTCAGTGCGTGCACAGCCCCGGGTTGCATCCCCAGCACTGCAAAAACCTTGAAAAACAAGAGGAGTGCAGCCTAGGACAGCGCCTGGTCCTCAGCTCAGCCCTTCATCCTTACGTGTGTCTGTCCTTTGCTTTATAAACGCAGGTGGAGCCTGAGCCACCAGGAACTTTGACGTGGGCGGTCCTGCTCCAAGGTGCTTCTTATCCAGCCTGCTCAGGAAGGGCCTGAGATGGAAAGCGCTTTGTGCTTTTGCTTTCTGTCAACTCTGGTGTCTGGGCAGAAGCCAACTGAGTGCTGGCTGTCATGACCTCCCGAGAGAGAGAGAGACGAGGGATGGACTTGAGTGTGGGGCCTGTGCAGGCCTGGATGCTGCTTCCTGCCCTTCCTTGATGTGGAGCTTCCCTTTTCAAGGGAGGAGCTAGGAACTTTCTGGATGTGGGCAGTGCTCTCTTATGGGTCCAGAGGGAGGCCAGGCTGCCCAGTGGCTTTGGACGGTTTCTCTCAGGGACTGGCCTGTGGGTTGTATGGGGACAAGACTCCTAGATTGCAGATCAGAGCAGAGAGGTGCTCTGTGAGGACTGGTACTTTGTGGGGGTGGGGGAGTCCTCGCGGGGAGCCCCAGCAGGCACCCATCTTCCTGGGGTTGCTTCCTGGTCCCCCTGGCTCTGGATGAAGACAGAGCCGGGCAGGAAGTTCTGAGAATTAGTCAGGCCAGGGCCAAGTGCAGCAGAGCCAGTTTATTCTGGCTTCACGAGCGGGTAGATTTGGGAGGCCAAGGTCAGGATTGCCAGCAGCTGGGCACCACTGTGCCTGGGCCTGGCTCTGGGCCTGTCCTTTGTGGAATATTCCTTTGGACATAAAGGACAGTCCTCACCAGTGGAAAGCTCCAGCTCTGCTTGGGGGTCCAGAGGCCAGGGAAGTTTAACAGCCTTTGAGAGGGCCAGCTAGCAGTGGTGACAGGGCACACCTCTGCCTGTGGAGGGCTTAGCATGGCGCCTGCTTGCCATGGCCAGGTTGATGACCCATGGTACCAGGTGCCTCCTCTGTGGCCTCCTCTGGGACTTGCTCTAGACAGAGGAGAGTGTGGATACAGACGGTGGTGAAGGCGGTTGTTGCCTGTTATCACCAACTTTGCTAAGTCAGGGAGTGTGTGCTGCCGAGGGAGGGAGGTAAGGTTTAACCTGCATCCCGGTGCACCAGGACGTCCCTGACACAGCCTTGCTTCCTCCTGGGATGGCCTAGAGCAGCACATTCCTGCCGGTTGGCCACTGAGCAGGGACCTGCTCAAAGTGAGGTGCTAGGGTCCCTCACCCGGATTCTGAAGACGTGCCGTGCTTGCTGACAGATGGAAAGCATGTCTGATCGTCATATGACCACTCGCTGATATTGGACGTATCGGCTAAATAAAGCCTCCTGTTAAGTCTTTCATTTCTTCTTGCTCTCTAAATAGGGTCGCTAGCAAATTCAGTTACGTTTGTGGCTCACCTTGGGTTTCTTTGTCTCAGCCCTGGCCTCATTATTTTGAGCAGGCTCGTGGTGTTAGAATAAATGGAAACACTTTTATAACAGCATCATGGCATGTGCCAGGCCTCTGAGTGCCTCACTCTTGATCATAATCCCTCACACCTGTGAGGTAGGAGCTGCTGTATCAGCTGGTGATGTGGAGGGTGCACTGTCACCTACTGGCAGGTAGGATGTATTGCAAAAACATGTTTTAAAATTGCTACCTTCCAGCTGTAATTCTGGCTACTTGGGAGGCTGACATGTGGAGGATCTCAGTTTGAGGTCAGCCCAGGCAAATAATTCAGGAGACCCCATCTCCAAAATAACCAGAGCAAAATGAACTGAAGGTGTGACTCAAGTGGTAGAGCACCTGCTTTGCAATTTGGAAACTCTGAGTGCAAACCTCAGTCCCACCAAAACAAAACAAAACAAAATCTGCCTTCTTTTGATTTTTAAAATTTGTTTTCTGTGAGATAAGTTTTTCAGTTCAGTTCCTTTTGGAAAAGCAGTGCATGGTGTCATGTGCCTACTGCTGCTCCAGCCTGGTAGTGGGCAGTGGCCCAGCCCAGAGCCCAGGGCCGATCCCCCTCATCCTTGCAGGTCTGGCTGTGGGTCTGGGCTTTGGGGCCCTGGCTGAAGTCGCCAAGAAGAGTCTGCGCCCTGAGAACTCCACAGGTGAGCTGCACCCTACATGGGAGGCTGGGGCCTGCAGGGGGAGCTGCTAGCCCAGCTCACCTGTGCTTTATCAGTGTTCGCCATGGGGGCCCCTCACGTCCCAGCTCCAGGTGGGACCCCACTCACATCAAGTCCCATGTGACTGATGCCCTGGCCCTGGTTGGCTGCTCAGGTTGACCATTACCGCACCCAGCCCCAACTGGCCACTCCGCCCTGGCTCCCCCGCCTGCCTGCACGCACTCACATACAGACAACCCTTGCTCTGCTCTCAGAGGAGCCTTGGTGGCACTGGTCCACTAGGTCAGGTGGCTTCTGGGACAGACCCACTGACCTGGAGTGGCCAGGACCTCTCCAGAGACTCTAGAGATCACAGGACTTGTGTCTGCCACCTTCCAGGGCCAAGACCAGGGCAAGGGTCAGGTCAGACACTCTTTTGGAGTGTGAGACTGGTGACCAGAAGCCCACTGGCCACACAGAAACCCGGGGAGTCCCAGATGCTGTGATACTGGCTGGGGGAGCAGCTGAGGCTCCACCTGGTTCCTGCCTGTGTGGACCCCTCTCAGACTTTGCCCGGAGATGAGGAGCAGGTGGTTGTAACGTCTGCTCATGGGGGCGTCCCCTGGGCCTTAGAGCTGTTGAGAGCAGTGCGGACAGAGCCATCTGCTGGTGATTCCCCAAAGTGCATCTGAGGTTCCGGGCTGGGCACCCTGTACCCTGGCCCACTTAGTATCAGTTCATCATGGTTCCTTACACCCCTCTCCCCTTGGGGGCCTCCCAGTGCCCCACTGCCCCTTGGGGCAGACCTCAGCCCCGCCAGCCTGGGGCCCAAGGGGTCTCCCAGCCACTGGGACGGAGAAAGGACTTGGTCATGTTCCCCACAGGCCCTGACTGCTGGGACAAAGGGCACCTTGTGTCCTTGAAGGGGACCAGAGAACAGAGGAGTTGGCAAGGATATTTTTAGTGGTGGCATTTTGGGACTGCTCCCTCCCCCACTTCCCCCAGAGCTGGCTGCTGTCCACCACAAGAGGCCAGCCTGGCTCCAAGAGGGCAGTGGTGAGCGAGGCTGAAGTTGGAGGGGCTTGGTTCCATTAGCCTGGGCCAGCGAGGGTGACCTTAGCAGCCACTGAGCTGTGCTACAACTTCCTGCCCAGGCTTGGCACACCTTGGCCTGGAGGACACTGACCAGGCAGTGAGCTTTGTCCTGGGAGACTTCTGGCTCCTCTGAGCCACCATGCCTGTGGCCTTCCTGGCTCCCCAGGCTGCTGTGTGGAGAGGACGTGCCTCCAGCCTGGGAAGGCCTGGGTTGGTCCAGGCACTGCCTTCAGATCTCAGGAGCTTGGGGCTCAGCCCAGGCCTGGTCTCTGTGGGCCTGGGGCAGTGGCCCATCCTGGGCTCCTCCCTCTGCTGGGCCGAGGGGCCGGGGTGGCCGGAGATACATGAAGGGGCTGTCCTTCCCAGCTGCTGCCAGGGACTTTCAGGGCTACTTGTCCTGGGTCGGCCCTGCCCCTGCCACAGCTTTGCCTTGCTGGCCATCTCAGCCTCTCTCTGCAGGGCTAAAATCTCCCTCACCCCCCCAGGCCCATGTTGTCAGCTGTGTTCACCGGGAGGCTCCTCCCTAGACCTCCCAGACTCGTGTCCCAGGCAGGACATCTGCTTGGCTTGTCGGAGGCCATACTGGACTAGGCCCCGGCAGAGCTCAGTGGCCCAGCCACCTCTCCCACTCTCTGGGGACCCGGTGTAGCTCCACTCCTAGCACTGTGTCCAGCACCAGTTTCAGCCCCAGCACCAATGGGGCCCTCACTGGGCCCTCTGTCCTCTACCCCTCCCAGACCCAGAAGATGTAAACTGAGGCAGGGGCCAGGCTCTGTGAAGGCTTCTGATCCACTACTCACTGAGGGTGTCACTAGGGCTAGTGGGCACAGAGGGGGCTGGCATTCCAGACCCCTGCTCTGGTTTTTTCTGCCCACAGGAGGTCACCCCTGTGCAGAGGCAGAAAAACTGACTGTGGGCATGCCGCTGGCTGGCAGCAGGAGGCTCTTGGCTGCCTGTGGCTCTCGGAGTCATTGCTCAGCCCTTGCCACCCCCAGGGTGCTGTACAAAGGTCACTGCTTTGGGCCAGCTGGCCGCTCTGAACTGCACGCCTGTGGGCAGAGGGCAGAAGCAGGCACCAGCAGGCTTTGTGCCCTTGACCCTGGGCGCCCTGCCCTGCCCTCCCCTCCCCTGAGGATGGTGCTGTCACTACAGCCGTTTGGCAAGTGCCTTGTCCCCAGGAGTGCAGACTACCTTCCTCTAGAACACCGGGCGGGCTGAGGTTTGGCGGTCCTCACCAGGGCACTGCCCATGTGGCCTCCGGGTCCTCCTGCCGGACCTGACCTTAACTGTAGCAACTCATGCTCTTAAGCCCCGGCGCTTCCAGACGCCGATGGAGCGAGAGCACCTGTGCGAGCGTGCAGGGGTGTGTGTGCGCGTGTGTGCGTGCGTGTGCATGTATATGCGTGCGTGAGTGTGCATGTGTGCATATGTGTACGCCTGTGCGAGCGTGCAGGGGTGTGTACGTGCGTGTGCATGTATATGTGCGTGAGTGTGCATGTGTGCGCGCGTGTGCGTGCGTGAGTGCATGCGTGTGCATGTGTGCGCGCGTGTGTGCGTGTGCGTGAGGAGGTGCCAGAGGTCTGGGAGGCCTGGCAGGTCTGGCGAGGTGCTGAGGCCGAGGGTGTGCGCGGGAATTGGAACTGGGTTGCCAGCTCGGTGGGAGGCAGCGGCCCGCCGGTGCTGCCTGAGGCCCAGGCAGGCTCAGTGAGGGCTCCCGCGTGGGGTGCGCGTCCGTCCCCAGGGAAGAAGGCCATGCTGGACTCCAGCCCCTTCCTGTCGGAGGCGAACGCGGAGCGGATCGTGAGCACGCTGTGCAAGGTGCGCGGGGCGGCGCTGAAGCTGGGCCAGATGCTAAGCATCCAGGGTGAGTGGCCCCCGGCCTGGCAGGCCTGGGGCAGGGGGGCTTTGGTCCAGGGAGAGCTCGAGTGAGTGGGAGGGAGACGGGGCTGCGTGGGGAAGCTCAAAATGGCGCCTCCAGCAGGGGCTGCAGGCCCTCTTGGTTCTTGGTGTTTTGAGATGTCATCCATCAGTGTGACAGCCAGCTGGCCTGCTGGGGATGCCTCGGGCCTCCCAGTGGTGTCCAAAGAGGAGCAGTGACAGCAGGTGGCAGCTAGTGGCCCTGCTGCCTTGGCCAACGCTCAGCTCCCAGGGCAGCATGGGCCGTGGGGCGCCACCTGGGGTGCTGCAGCTGGCATGGACGTTTGGGACGCATCTGTGAACACACCTCAAGGACAGGCCCAGTGGCCCAGTGGCCCCCCATAGACACTGCAGGATGTGCAGGAGCAGCAGAAAGCCAGCCCCGCGGGGAAGCCATCTCGGAGGGATGTCCCCAGGAAGCTGGGGTTCTGCATCAGCAGGAGCAGGGCGGCGGGAAATGTGGTTAGGTTGGGGGCAGTTCAGTTTTCTTTTATAATTGTAAAAAACGTTACAGTGTTGCGTCTGAAATGCTGTCAGGTCTTGGGGCGCAAGTTCAGGGATTGGGGGGGTCAGGGCTCCAGCTGCTCTGGGCCGGGCCCCCCGCCCGCCTGGTTTGGATCTGGGCCTCTGGCCTGAGCGGGCGGCTGCTGAGATGTGAGGCCCCGGGCCGCCTGTGCGGCCTTGGCTTGCTGCCTGTCCACATCCGGTGCCAGAGCCAGGAGGGGCGCCTTCCTCCCCACCTCTGACTGCCACGTCTCGCAGACGACGCCTTCATCAACCCCCACCTGGCCAAGATCTTCGAGCGCGTGCGGCAGAGCGCGGACTTCATGCCACTCAAGCAGATGACGGTGAGGCCGGGAGCGGCTCCGGGCCTCCCGAGCAAGCCGTGGCCTGGGCAGAGCTGGGGGCTGCTGGGGACCCGGCCAGGCTGTGCTCACGGCCCCCCTACCCCCGCAGAAGACCCTCAACACCGACCTGGGCCCGCACTGGAGGGAGAAGCTCGAATACTTCGAGGAACGGCCCTTTGCGGCCGCCTCCATTGGCCAGGTGCACCTGGCCCGCCTGAAGGGTGGCCGGGAGGTGGCCATGAAGATCCAGGTAGGCGCCCTGTGTGCTGGTGGAGGCCGCGCCTGGCCACTCTGGGCCTGGCACCCCCCCACCGCCTCCGGGGTGCCCTCACTTCCCCCAGGCAGCCCTGCACCCCATCTTTCCTTCTCCAGCACCTGGCCCAGGTGCTGTGGCTGTGGGCGCAGCTGTCTTCTGCAGGGCACGGGGACTGTCCACTGTTGGGGGTCCAAGCTGGAGGGAGGTTCTGAGCAGTGACCGTTGAGTAGAAGGTGGGGAAGGACAGCACTGTGACCACGACAGCGCCATTTGGGTTTTGGCTCTGGTTCTGCCGGGCTGAGTGCTGGTGGGACTCGGGAGTTACGGGGAGGACAGGGCTCCAGAAGGCGCTGCCCCGTGTGTCCCTCCAGTACCCCGGCGTGGCTCAGAGCATCAACAGCGATGTCAACAACCTCATGGCCGTGCTGAATATGAGCAACGTGCTTCCCGAAGGTCTGCGGCTGAGCTGCCGGCTCCGGGCAGGAGCGGGTGGTGGCTGCTGGGGCTGGGCGCTGGGGATCAGAGGGACCCCCTGCAAAGCTCCCTGCCCACCTTGCTGCCTCTGCCTGACCCAGGCCTGTTCCCTGAGCACCTGATCGACGTGCTGAGGCGGGAGCTGGCTCTCGAATGCGACTACCTGCGGGAAGCTGCTTGTGCCAAGAGGTTCAGGTGTGGCTCCTGGTGCGCTGGCTGGCGGGGCCTTGGGGGTAGAAGAGCAAAGGAGACAGTTGTGGGGGCGGGTGGCCCTGGTCAAGCCTGGCCATGGGCGGCAGTCTTCCCCACAGCAAAGCAGGATCTGTGCTGTCCCTAGTGGGGGCTCTTTAGGGCCCGGACTGGTAAGACCTCCCACCCTACCCAGGGAGTTGCTGAAGGACCACCCCTTCTTCTATGTGCCCGAGATCGTGGATGAGCTCAGCAGCCCCCACGTGCTGACCACGGAGCTGGTGTCTGGCTTCCCCCTGGACCAGGCGGAAGGGCTGAGCCAGGAAGTTCGGAATGAGGTGTGTGGGACTGGGCTGTCCCTGCCGTGCCCTTGGTGCTGGCCAACCACCAGGTGAATGGTGGCCGCAGAGCCGCCAGCATTCCCTGTGGCTGCATCTGGGCAGATGGTGGGTGGTGGGGACTTTCTGGGTCACCTGACGCAGCCCCCTCTTGCCCCCCCCCCCAGATCTGCTATAACATCCTGGTCCTGTGCCTGAGGGAGCTGTTTGAGTTCCACATCATGCAGACGGACCCCAACTGGTCCAACTTCTTTTATGACCCTCAGCAGCACAAGGTGAGCTGGGGGCACCAGGGTCCTGAGTGGCTTCTCAGGCTCCTCACACCTGCCACAGCTGCAGGGCGAAATTTCCACATCTTCATCCCCAGGTGGCTCTTCTGGACTTCGGGGCGACGCGGGAATATGACAGGTCCTTCACCGACCTCTACATCCAGGTAAGGTTGGGAGAGGGGCCTCGTTTTTCAGAGGCTTGGAGCAGGTCCTAGGGGCTGGGAGGGAGAAAGGGAGAGAATGCCGAGATTCTGACTCTCTCTGGTGGTGGCGGCGATGATTGGGGGGGCGGGGACCATGGCTGTCACTTGCAATGCTGCTGTGACCTGCAGGCTGGGGATCTGAGACAAGGATGGTCAGAGGGTGGGCTGGGGCTCAGCTCTGGCCCCGAGGGCCCTCGGGAGCCTCTTCCTGTCCTTTTGCCCAGATCATCCGGGCTGCTGCAGACAGGGACAGGGAGGCTGTGCTGAGGAAGTCCATAGAGATGAAGTTCCTCACGGGCTACGAAGTCAAGGTGGGTGGCGTTGCCGGGCTCCACGGAGTGGGCGGCTGGACCTGGGCTGGGCCTGCTTGTGAAACCTTAGGCAGAACCTCAGTGTATACAGGATGGGAGCACCGGCTGCCACCCAGGTCCCCACAAGCGCTGGGGCTCCTTGAACACAGTCTAGAAGCCTCTGGGACACTCAGGGTGCAGGGAAGGCAGGTGGGGTGGGCGCCGGGGGAATGTGGTGTGAAGGTCGCCTTTCTGCTGCTGTGGCCAGAGTGAGGGTCCCTGTCACATGAGGAGGGTAGACTGTCCCTTTACCCAGAAGCCACCGATGAGCAGCACTTTCCTCTCTTGACTCTGGGGAAGGAGACAGGGTCCAGCCTTGTGCTCATACCCAGTAAGAGTGTGACCGCAGACAGTCAGCATGCCACCCTCGCTTCTCTGCCTGGAAGGGGTGCTGACCATACTCAGCTCCAAAGCCCTCTGGGGCCAGCCGTCCCTGCCCCCTCTGTGCTGCCGGACATGCTGTGTGGCCACAGTTACTTCTGGGCGTCTTGTGGTGACAGCGTGAGTCCTCTACCTGGCAGGTGGCCGCCGGCTGTGCCAGGCTGATGCTGGGCAGGCTCCTGCACAGGCCCTGCCAGGTTGGGCCAGGACACTGGTCCTTCTGGCCAGAGCAGCTCTGTGAAGATGACCAGCTCCCCCCATTCTGCCCAGACCCCAGCACGCCACTTAGCCTCGCACTGGGCCCCTGGACACTGATCTCTTCTGGTCCCTGTGGTTGGCATTCGTGCCGTCCTTAACTGCTGTCTGGTCTATTTACAAACATGGCTGACTGCCTAGGGCACTGGGTGGGCCCGGGGCTGGGGCTCCTGTACCTTGCTGCAGTTGCCCCTCTTCACGCAGGCCATGGAGGACGCCCACCTGGACGCCATCCTCATTCTGGGGGAGGCCTTTGCCTCGGATGAGCCCTTCGACTTTGGCACCCAGAGTACCACCGAGAAGATCCATGGCCTGATCCCCGTGATGCTGAAGCACCGTCTCGTGCCTCCGCCCGAGGAGACGTACTCCCTGCACCGCAAGATGGGCGGCTCCTTCCTCATCTGCTCCAAGCTCAAGGCCCGCTTCCCCTGCAAGGCCATGTTCGAGGAGGCCTACAGCAACTACTGCCGGGCGCAGGCGGTGCTCCCGGTGGGCAGGGGAAAGCAGGGGTGACGTGCCACTGCCCAGCGAGCGGATGGCGGCTCTGCGGGAGGAGGCTGCGCGGAGGCCCGGCCCTCGCACGGCTCTTGTGGAAGGGAGTAGAACTGGTGCAGAGCGAGGCGATGCCACTGTTCTGCCAGACTCTGCCGTGTGCCCCCTCTGAAGTAACCGGATAAAAGGCGATTTTCTTCCCTCTCCTTTCCCGCCTGTGAACGCTAACAGGAGCGAGGCGCCTGTCCCCTGAGGCCTTGCTGCCAAGGCTGAACGAAGACACGAAAGACACAAAGAGGCAGCAGCCTAGAAGCCTTTTGCGTCTTGTCGGCCATGTGGTGTGAGCCTGTGTGTTTCTAGGGGAGGTTTGTGTCTGCCCTTTCCTGCTCCAGGCTGAGGTTCCGAGCTGAGACCAGCAGATCCAGGACCCTGAGGGCTGGGCTGCCGGGACGGGTCTCAGTGTGGAGACGATTGGGCCTTGGTAGAGAAGAGCTGCCCCTACCGGGAGGGAAGGCCAGCCAGATGTGATGGACAGCCAAGGTCAGCACAGGCTCTGAGGGTTGATACAAGTCTCGTAATGACCACATTTACTTGTTTTGGTTCAATTAAAAAGTGCTTGTGAGAAGCCTTGGAACCGTCTTTTGTTCCTTGTGCTCTGAGGATTCTGGGGAGTGAGGGAACCCCCTTGGCACGGGTGGTGGCCCTTCCTCTGCACTGCTGACCCCTTAGTCAGCCCCGGATGCGCTGAGGTCTACACACCTGTTTCTAGCATGAAGCCTGCAGGGCCTTGCTGGGCCCTTTACTGAAGGGGAGAGGCCACCTTGGCAACCACACAAAGTGGCTTTTCCCAGAGTGCACGATGCCTGGAAACGGGACATCTGGATGCTGCTGGGGCCCTTCCTGACCCATGCACAGTGCTGAGGACGCATTAGGGAGGACATGGTGCAAGGGGTGCCTCGGCCTCTTCCTCACAAATAACCCAAGCAACTGAAGCCCGATATGCAGTGGAGGACAGCAGTGGACGACAGCAAGTCTCCAGCCACCGACAGACTGCAGGGAGAACAGGGTTTCCAAGGGAAACTAGGAAGTGGTTTTGGCCCCAAGGCTGAGCACCAGGTGAAAACCAGCCTTCAGGTTCAGAGATCTGAGTGCCACTGGGGACGTAGGCAATCTGATCCCGGGGTCCAGCTCAGCCTGGTGTCACACACTTGCTTTTTATTTGTACCGCAGTTCAGCTCCAGGGCCTGTGCCCACCCATTATGCCCAGCTCAGGAGCCAGGCTTTCTGTGCTGGGGGCAGCAGAGTTGAGAAGTCGCTGCTGTCCCAGGCAGCCATTCTTTGTACCCGCTGGGCATTTAGGAGAAAACCAAGGCTGGTGTCTGGCGGAACAGCAGTCTCTACCTAGTGGGTCCAGGGCGTGGAACAGGTCGGTTCAGCCTCACAATCCACGCTAAGTCTACCCAAAACCAAGGCCTGGCAGCGTACTGGGCCCGTGATTTTTACCAGGTTTTATGGAACCTGTGTATGAAACAGTCTTGCACCGAGTAGCTGCTACAGACTTTACACACACGTAAGCCAAAAACGTTTGGCCCTTTAGGAAAAAGTTTGCCAGGCCCTGATTCCCACCGCCCACGGCTGCTGCCTCTAAGGCACAGAGCGAGTCAGAACACTGCATATACCAGTGGCCTGGAGATGGGAAGCAGGGCAGGCGGTCATCGCTATTCCGCTACAGCCAGTTTAGGATGTCCTCTGTGATCACCAGTCTTACTGTGTGTCCTCAGGCGCACGGTTCAAACTCCCCTACAGTAGGGACACCAACTTTGTTCTTGGTGGCAGCCAACAATGGAGCTGCTCACAGTCACCATCAGGCCTTCCCCGAGCCTCACGTCACATCGGGGAGATGGCATCACAGGCTGCAGCAGCAGCAGTTGGGAAGTTCTGACCAGAAGAGGAGTGGAGGGGCTTCCAAGGGATTTAGTGTTATTTTTTTACCTGAACCACAAAGGCAATTTAGGAGGTCCCAGATTAAATCCCAGGGAAAAACTGACCTGTTAGTAGAGTAAGGAAGAGGCCCGGAGGAGGGGGCCAGCAGAATGCAGGCGGCTAAGGCACGCCAGTGGGGCGTTTCCTCCCTCCTCCAACTGTTCAACTGGGGAAAGAGACAAAACACTCAACTCTAACAGTTCCGTGTTTTATTGCAGTACATCAAAGTCTGGTTAATATTAAGTGATACCAACATAAAATATTGGTGAATTCTTTTGTTACATTTTGACTATCCCACCTTAAATATTTCTGTGCAAAAGAATCCACATCACTGTTTGGTAGCAGAGACTCTCTTAGGAAGTTCCCTAAGACATTGAGGGAAAAAAACCAAAATAAGTGCTAAGAGGCCAAAGCGGCATCTCCCCCTTCCACACAAACTGCTCAGCATTACATTCTTAACAAAATGATTACATCTAGGCCATGCAAAACTGTACAATAATATTACAATGAGAAAAACCTAAAAATTTATAAATGATATTATACTATCAAATAAAAAGGCAGGTCATTTGTTTTCAGAGACATCAAGGTTGGTTTGAGGTGGTCAGAGTCCTGTACCACTGGGACACCTTGTGTAGTGCTGGGCCCCGGGAAGGGAGAGCTGGCAGAGCTGGCTCTGCTGGAGTGACCCTCAGAGAACTGCGGCCTTGAGAAGAGGTTTTGAAGAGGGTGCAATGAACCGTCAAGCAGCGTGTCTAGCTCAGGGCTGGCTGGAGACAGGTGGGGAGTGCCCAGGGGACTCGGGCTTGTGCTCCCAGTGCCCGTCCAGAGAGCATGGTGAGAGCTGCCACCAAGCCCACTGAGCTGGGAGACTCAAATGTGTGGTCACTGCCAGGGCCAGCAAATGGCCCTGTAGCATCTGGGAGTAGGACGCCTGTCCACCCTGCTCTGGTTTTTCCTTCGAGTTTCACATGAACCAGCTGGTCTTCCTCACAAATAGACATGGCCATTAACAAAACGACATGGTTCTAAGCATATGGAACGAGGCTGAGCATTGCTGCTGTAAACATGACAGGAATTTCGGATTCTCCTTGAAGCTTGGACCAGGGCAGATGGGTCCTGCTTAGTTCTGTGGGATGGCTTCAAAGCTGTGCTCTTGGAAAATTGTCGAGTGTGTGTGTGTGTGGGGGGAGAGTGTATAAATAGATGTGAATTTTTATAACTGAAGTGAAGTTTGTTTAGGAGTCACTTGAGAAGGAGGAAGGCTTTTGCTTTTGGCGAGAAGAAACATTTGTGTTTATAATTTTATACACCCAAAAAGCACATGGCAAATTAGCCAGATAAGGGACAGGGAAAGCACCAAGCACCAGCGAGACATGTGCCAGAAGTGCCTGGGACGCGGGGTTTCTTTCTGTTGGGAAGTTGGTCCCCACTGCCTTTGGAAATGTCCTGCATGGGTGGGGCTGGGGGGGGTGACTTGAACATAACCTTGGACCTGTGCTCCTGAGCCCTTTGAATGGTCTTAGTGCAGCCGTCTCCTGGAGCCTATTCCATCTTTCCAAACACTGTTCCCATAAGCTTCTGAAGATAGTAGACTCACATTTAAGGTGTGCTCAGCCCCACAGGACAATTAACCCAGGAAATCTACCCCCAATTCTGATGTTAGAGTCTGTACACATCTGGATTACTCATGATTGCCGTGGGCGGGGGGAAGGACAGCCACCTGGTGGGGAGACCAGCCTCCAGGGTGCTTGCCCGCGGGAGGCTGTGCAGCAGTCTGTCGTGGGGCCTAAACTTTACGTAGGTGATTCTAAGAGCGTCTTTGGAGAAACAAACACCTATAAGCAATAAAAATTCACAACTGGTTGTCAAGATACAAGCTAATGGCTTAGTGCAGAGTCCTGTCCATCTCAGCCTGGGTCTGCCTTCTGCTGTCAGGGAAGGAGAGAACCAATCATGAGCACCAGGGACATGGCCAGCCAGCTGGTCCTTTTTTTCTCACATCAGGTGCCAAGTTCCAGCAGGTACCAGTTTGATGCATCAGTGACCAAATGCAAGGTCCACCCACCCTTGATACTTGGATGTACAGAGGCATTTTTATAATATGCTTTTTTTCTAAAAGCAGATTTGGGAGGTTAGAACTACACTGAATAATGCCCACCTAAACCAAATCAAAGCAGCAGCAAGTCTAGAATGCTTGTGTGTGGAAGTCCTGACACTAAGCACTCAGGGCTCTCCTTCCCTCATGGGCCCTCCAGGTGCCAGGTGCGGGAGGGGAGGAGCTGGACACTACAGCCAGGTTAGCCACTGAGGAACTTTCTTCATTTTAGCTGAGGTTTAAAGACGAGGGGAGAAAATTCTGTTTCTTTTCCTCCCAGTGAGAAGCAAGAGAGAGGTTCTCCTTACTTCCACATGACATCTTTCTTTCTCTACCATGTGCTTGCTGGTGAATGAGTGCAGACGGAAGTCCTGCCTCCACTTCTCACTCTCCCGGGCAGCGACAGGGCGCAGTCAGGGCCTGAGCTCCTGGCCTCCTTTGGTTAGAAGTGTTTGCCTAAAGCTGCCCAAGTACTTGCTTTTGAGGTTTTGTATTATTTGGTAACTTCTTTTCACTGGGCTCATCTGGGGAAGCCATATTCAGCCCTGGACAGACAACCATTGCCACCTCAGGAGGCCAGGACTTTCCAGGAAGAAAAGCACTTTCATGAACCATTATAGGCCTTCAGAAGCCATAGACACTTGTGTCCTTTCAGATGGAAGGGGTTGGAAGGTGACAATCCTTTTTCTACATCCGCCTGCACAACACATCAAGACACAATTAAGAGTGGGAAGTGTGGTGCCATTCTGCTGCTAGCGAAGGTGACGAGGGTGGTGGCATAAGCCGCAGCTTCAAGGTCTGAACCCTCTTGTCTGGCTGCACTCCACACCTCCCATGCAGGGTCCCCAGTGAGCCCTGATTATTCTTGCTCTCCCTCTGCAAATGCTTGAGGCCTTTCTACCCTGTACACGACTTAGCTGGAAACAGACAAGAAACAACACATCTTTAAATTAAATGATCTCTCTTATATATGCATCTGTCTTTCATTGAATACAAGATGCTTCTCTTGACTATATACATTCAGCATTGAACTTCTACATATGTATTTATTTAAACTCTAGTGTAGTAAAATATGCATTATTTTCATCTGTGAGGACTTGGGCTGGCGCTGGTCACGGTGACCTCTCTAGGCTGCTGTCTGTGGTGTGCAGAATCCCAGGTGCCGACAGAGGGCTGCGGTGGCTACTGTAGGGATGGACTGTCTAACCCACAACATTCCCTACGTTTGTGCAGTCTGTCTACTGGGCTATCTTTGGGGAAGGGTAGCGTCTTCCTGAAGGCAGCTCTGCATGGGGATGAACCTACACCGGCCTCAGCAGCAGGGTGGAGGGAGGCCACCTATGCTACTGCTACCAGACCAAGGATCCGCCAGTGTTGTCAGACCACCAGTCCCTCCTGTGGCTGCCGCCAGCCTGTCCTTTCCAGGCCTAAGTGGAGTAGGAAATGGAGGGAGGGAAGGCAGTGGAAGGTGCGGGTGAGGCCACCCTGGCTCATGGGTCCCAGCTCCCGTGGTCAGTACTCTCCAGTGAGAGGCTCTTGGTCTTTCGAGGAGAAACCGGGCTTGGGGGGCTGCTCAGGTTGGAGCTGTTGGAAGCTGTGGAATGCCTTGGAGAATCAGAGTCCTGCAAGCCCAAAGTGCAGCAGCATTGAGAAGCCAAGCGAGGTGGCCCCTGCAGCGGCTCACCCACAGCCAGCCCGCTGGCTTCCTGACGGGCAGTGTCAGCCCTGAGCTGACACTCAGAAGGACACACATCTCAGTCCTTAGTGTCAGCCTTTAGCAAGGTAATTATTTTCACTCAAAGGTCATCATGAATCCGCACGCCTCTGGGAAAACTGCAGCTTGCACCCAAGTGGATAGCCTTGCTGTCCCTGGTGGAGGGTGAATGTCGGCCCTACTCAGCTGAGGCCATGCAGGTGGCAGGATAACCAGGGCAAAAACACCCAAACCCGCCCACAGCTTCCCTAGGGCAGTCACACTCACCTCCCCATCATAGTCCCTGGTTGGGGCATCGCTTCCTTGGTCCACACCTCCTGAGGACAAAGAGCCCTCGGAGGGAGAAGGTAGAGGCTGCCGCTTTGCCTTGTAGCTTCCTCCGGAGAACTCCCTCTTCAAGGCGCTACCGTTCTGTGTGGATGAACCTAAGGACACCGTCAGGAAAACTTTACACACTTGGAAGAGGACAATCCTATAGAAGGGGGACAGACTGCAAGGTGACAGCACGCCCCTACCCCAACCATGGACAATGCCTTGGCCCCAGAGCTCCCCTGAAGGCCAGCAGTCTTATACAGTTGTCGCCATCACACTCAGTGTCATAGAATCCTTTTACTAGTGGAGCCTCCCAGTCCCCTTGCCTTGGGGGCTCTCTTGGCACCATTCACACTTCCCTATCACAGCACTTGTGCATCATATTGCAATCAGGGGTTGGCCACTCTCTAACATGTGGAGCAGCTCTGTCTCACCGGCCTAGTGCCCAGTGGGCTCAGAGTGACGTGCGCAGGAGGAAGTAGGGAGTTGGCCCCAGATAAAGGCTATGCCTAACAACATGGGGACTACTTCACTTCTTTATAGAGAACCCTCATAAAAACAAAGGAAGCACAAAAGCAGCACTTCCCCCCATAGGGCAAAAAGCCTGAGCCATCAAGGCAGGCTGAGTTTCTTCAAAATCAGATTCTGTTTTGACCTAAGAGTCCGGGTACATAGGCGGGACCAGCAGTGTTCACAGTAAGAAAAAGGAAGAAACCCCTGAAATCTGGGGAGTACTGTTAGGAGTTGTGTAAAGTTGTTAATCAGTTTCTGCTTAAAAAATGTTTCCATCTTGCCATACTTCAGTGTTAGGATCGGTGGTCAAAAAGGACCATGTGGAGACGGCTCAGTGTAACATGGGGATAAACTGGTTGTTCCAGCTTCTAGCTGATTTTATCAAAAAAAAATTTTTTTTTTGGTGGTGCTAGAGTATGAACTCAGGGCCTTGCACTTATTAAGCAGGTAGCTTTTTGCTTTAGTTACTTTTGCGACAGGATCTCACTTTTTGTCCAGGCTGGCCTGGACTGAGATCCTCTTATTTATGCTTCCCAAGTAGCTAGCATGACAGGCGTGTACCACCACACCTAGCTATTTGTTGAGATGGGGTCTCATGAACTTTTTGTCCAGACTGGCCTCAACCTCAACTGTGATCCTCCCAATTTTTGCCTTTTGAGTAGCTAGGATTACAGGCCAAGGCCACTGCATCTGGCTCATCAATCTTTTTTTTACATTAAGAATTCGATGAAGGGCCAGTGGAGTGGCTCAAGTGGTAGAGCACCTGCCTAGCAAGTGCAAAGCCCTGAGTTCAAACCCCAGTGCCACCAAAACCAAACAAGTTCAATGAGAATGTCACACGTGACCACTTGCAGCATGATTATCTACTGATCACAGACTGTCAATTGTTCACAATGACACACAATAGGAGCCTGCTGCAGTCATGTCTTTGTACTCTGCAAGCTTCTCTTACTGCACCCCTCTTACAGTCTGTGTTTTCCTGACACCACACCTGCCATCTTGCAGAGACCACCAACATGGCTGGAAACTGGATGTTGTGTCATGTGCTTTAAAAATGTGACTGCTGCCCAAAAGACTGTGACACAGGTTACTCCAGAGGCACCTGCACACCCATGTTTATTGTGGCACTATTCACAATAGCCAAGTTATGGAAACAGCCAAGATGCCCCACCACTGACGAATGGATTAAGAAAATGTGGTATCTATACACAGTGGAATTCTATGCAGCCATGAAGAACGAAATGTTATCATTCACTGGTAAATGGATGGAATTGGAGAACATCATTCTGAGTGAGATTAGCCTTGCCCAAAAGACCAAAAATCGTATGTTCTCCCTCATATGTGGACATTAGATTGAGGGCAAACACAACAAGGGGAATGGACTATGAGCACATGATAAACGTGAGAGCACACAAGGGAGGGGTGAGGATAGGTAAGACACCTAAAAAACTAGCTAGCATTTGTTGCCCTTAACGCAGAGAAACTAAAGCAGATACTTTAAAGCAACTGAGGCCAATAGGAGAAGGGGACCAGGTACTAGAGAGAAGGTTAGATCAAAAAGAATTAACCTAGAAGGTAACACCCACGCACAGGAAATCAATGTGAGTCAATGCCCTGTATAGCTAGCCTTATCTCAACCAGCAAAACCCCTTGTTCCTTCCTATTATTGCTTATACTCTCTCTTCAACAAAATTAGAAATAAGGGCAAAATAGTTTCTGCTGGGTATTGAGGGGGGGCGAGGGAGGGGGTGGAGTGGGTGGTAAGGGAGGGGGTGGGGGCAGGGGGGAGAAATGACCCAAGCATTGTATGCACATATGAATAATAAAACAATTAAAAAAAAAAAAAGAAAACATGAAGGTTAAAAAAAAAATGTGACTGCTGGAGCCCTTAACCAGGTCGATCAAGGCAGAATTCCTGATTTAACTTTTCAACACTCTCCTGATGACCAAGAGTCGTTTGCCCCCAGCTTCGAGACTTGGGGTCACTAGGCCTGCTTGGTGGAATGTTTCTTGGTAATATGCTCCTCTGTCTTTCTAGAGTATTGTCTAATTGAGGGCACAGTGAGTTTTTATTTTTCTTTCAATTATATGTCTAGTTAAATGCTTGCTTAAAAAAAAAAACACTACATGCACTATTCTTAAAATCTGTCTCTCAGAATAGAAAATGCAAACCACTAGAGATGCCCACAGATTTCCTCCTATAGCTCAGGCAGGACTATGTGGTACTTTCTGAGTCTGTGTTCCTACCATTTGGGTTTTTGTGGGAACGCTCTGGAAGTCCTCTCCCTCGCACAGATCGTCTCCATGCTCATGTGATGGGAGGACTCAATCCCACCTCAGTGTCTCCAGTTTTCTTTTCCCTTTTAAACATCAGGGATCTTTTCTTTCCAAGAAAGGTTATATTTACTCACTCAGTCTAGAAAAAGAAAAGTAAGGTGGGCTGTTTTGGTGTGATAGGAAAAGGGCCTGGGAGTAGTCTGGAAGTTGTAGTCTTGGTTTTCTGAGGTCACAGCTTGGCATGGCTTCTGCTCAAGAGCTCAAGATGGGACTGAGCTCTGAATCTTTTGGGGTGAGGAGTACCCCTCTAGGAGGGATAGCCTCTAGGAGGGTATAAAAGGCTCCTATGTGAGCCCCTGTGGCTAACAGGAGAGTGTCTCAGTCCTCTGTGGCCTGGCAGGAATCATGGTGGAAGCCATGTTTAAATCTGTGCTGTTTGTGGAGGCTGACATCAGAGCTCCCCTGTTTCTTCTTGTCCCTCCTGGCAGGTTGTCCTGGCAGGAAGTGCTTTATACAACTCAGTGACATGAAGCCAGCAGGAGCATCTAAATTGAGAGACAGATGCCCTTGCATTTCTTGGGATGTCTTTCCTCAGCTCTCCACAAACAGCTTGAATTAGGATTAGGTACCTCACAAAGACCAAGAGTAAGGAAGGCATTCAGGCTAGTCCGGGCCTAGGCAGCAACACAGGACTCTCATTCCAGAGCCTCTCTGTGCCACAGGGCAGTATCTTCGCCTGCAACTTCAGAAACCCAGAAGCCCCAAAACACAGTATTTCCTCATGTGTTTGCTACAGACTCATATGACAGCAAAATGTCACCTGAACTGGAGGCTGATGGCGGGCTTCACTTATGGACGCTTACTTGTTTACAGGGTGGACAGTCATAACTTTTGCTGTACAAATACTAACTTGCTGTGGTATTGCCTCAGATCTTGCTGAGAATGTAACATAGCAAATGGCAGGTTCCTTATAGAATATATTTGAAAAGTCTGAATTCTGAGAGAAAAAAAACAGGTTTCAAGTAAGGGATGATGGAACATTCCCTGACTATGAGTGCTGTGACACTGTCTTTGCATCTCTAATCTTGGTAACTTATGGTTTAAATCCATCACCTTATTTAGCTACCACAAATGAAAAGGTGATTAATAAGGTGACTGCCGTGTTTCCAAGGCGTAAGTTTTTCACTGTGGGCAGCACCATCTGTTGGCTCCAGATAACTTTAGGAGACAAAGCAGAAAGTTGCAAGTTGTACATTCCACCTTCCCCTGACGACTTCTTGGGGGCCTGCTTGCATCACAGGCCAGTGTGCATGGGGTCGCCTCCTCCTGGGAGCCACACATTACGTGGTCCCTCTCACATAAAGGGGCAGCAGTCAATAACATTTGCACACACACTGGTGGTCCCACGTGATCATGCCGCTTAATGACAATTATCTCCATCTGGGTAAGTATGCTCTGACACCAACTACGAAATCACCCAGACACACTTTGCTCAGGACACCATCAGCTGATGCATGACTGTCTGTCACTTCTGCCTCTCTGTTCTTCAAATCACTTGCTCGGGGAAAACAGGTAAACTGCCACAGGTATACTGGCAGGACAGAGAGGCCCAGGTTGCCATACAAGCAGGCCTGACCACAACCAGGTGGTAGAGCTGGAGTCCCTGTGCAGTCACAGAGGCCTGGAGCTGACTGCTAAGAGCAGGACTGAGCCTGGTGACAGGTGCTGGTTCTTGGAAACCATGTGAAACAGTGTGTTGGCTGTTCTAAGCATCTATGCTGTAGGGTAATTTGCTATATACAGCAAGTGATAATTAATGTCACATCATTCATCTTTAAATTACCAGAGCCTAAAAATACCTGAGGACATAGCAGGTGCTGAAATCAGTGTCTGCTGTGCAAGAAGCAACAGAGGCGTCAGGCCAGTCTAGTCTAACACTCAGGACACAGGACAACGAGCAAGCTTTCCAGCTGGAAGACATCTCAGTGTGGAATTCAATGGAGTGTAAGTTTCAGAGATGGAGGTGGGAGTGAGTAAAGGTTTTCCTGATAACACAGCTGGCCTGTGTAGGCCCCTGCTCTCTCACACTCCAGTAAGTGGGAGCCACTGTGCCACTCCACAGCTGCGGTGGAAAGCACTCTTCTCCTCCCCCACTCTCATGTTGATTCCTCATCAAGTCTTACCGTTTCTGTCTCTGAAAATACATCTGAAGACTTCACCTCCTTCTCCCTTGGCCTCCTCTACACCAGATGCAGCTTCTACTGCTGGCCACTCTGAGGTGGATTTGAGTCCATTCTCTGGTGGCAGCCAGCAAGATGACTGAAACTACGTAGAGTCTCTTCCCCGGTAAAGTCCTCACAAGCTCCCTGCTGCATTGTGGTTAGAACAGGGCATTTCTTACCTTGGGCTCCAAGCCTGTTGGTCTGGGCCTTGCTCACCTCGCCCATCTACATCCCTCTTTCCCATCATGACCATGTAGCCACAGTAGCCACGATGGCCTTCTTCCAATCATTCACTAGGGAAATCTGATACCCTGTGTGGTGGCCGTGTGGCCTTCCTAACTCCTTTAAGTGTGATTTCATCCTCAATAGCTGCCTTGGTTGTTCTCCAACACCGTGTGCCCTGCTATTGCCAGCACACTTTCTGGTGGTGTCCATCTGTCTCCCACAGGGTCAGCAGCTCTCAAAGGACTCCAGGGCTATCTCAAAAACTGCACCTGTGTCACTGGGCATTTCCCAGCAAGGGCTGAGGCACTGTCACCACCAGAACACACTAAGCATTTGTAAGAACTGTCACGCATAGGACTTGCAGGGCAGGCTGCAGCCTGGGGTCACCTGGCCACAGAGATCATTTCTGCACCTAGGGTGAGGCACTTACGTGCTGACAGGCCACTGCTGGCACTCATGGAGCGGCCGGGCTCAGGGCGGGATTTGGTGATAGATGGAATACTGACTGAGCCACTGAATACTGTCCGGCTTTCCTGAGGACGAGGGTTCTGAAAACAAGAATGATACATTCTTCAGACAGAAAGAAAGAGGTTTTCTGCTGAGGTGTCTACTTTTCACTACAATTACCAAGAAATAAAATGATCTTCACCTGAATAATACAGAGTAAGGAGCAGTGGATCCATAACCCCTCCCACTGAGAAAGGTAGCCCAACCCCAACATGAAGTAAATCTCTCCCCCAAAAGGGTAAGTACTAATCAGTAATGAGTTTTGGCTATGCAAACAATGAGTAAGTTACACAGTTAGATGTGAGAGTAAGTGCAGAATCACACGGACATTTGCAGATAACTTAAACAAAGCTTTTACAATGGATGACATCTTTATTTGCTTAGGATAACTCAAAGCCCAGGAAGCTCATTTGGAGGAAAGTCAATTAAAATTACATTCTTGATAAGAATATACCTTATTCACAACACCTATTGTGCCATTTCCGCCTTCAGGCAATGTTGCTGAGTCAGAAACAAGAGGACTCTATAGTAAGCACAACCAAACTTCTCTGTGACTGAGGAGTGTGACCTGATGTCCTGTGACTGGGGAGTGTCAGCCTGAAGACTTCCCGGCCCAGCATCCTATAATTTTTCAAAGCTGAAGGAGAGGATGTCCGCTGATAGTGCTCAGAGGGTGGAAAGACACTGAGTGTTCCTCCCATGTCCCAGATTGCCCAAGCTCTAAGTACCCTGTCAATGACATCTCTGTGCCACTCACAATGTCTCCACTGCTGACACAATCCTATCCTGCAAGCGTTTTCTGATGCAAACGGTCTGGTTCCTTTGATTTCTTGCAACTTATAAGCCAATCCGCGTCTATTTATTATGTGGAAAAGCTGTCCCTCCTCACTAGTCTTTCACAGTCACAACAGAAGCAACAGTAATTATGCTCCACCCCGGGACCAACCCCTTCCCATCCACCCTCACAAGGGTGGCTTGTGAGCACAAGAGGCTGCTCACAAGAGGTTAAAAAAGAGGCAACTTGCTGGCTGGTCAGCACAGGCCGGGGACAAAGCCAGCCACATCCACAACAATGCTGCACAGTCTGCTGACAGAGGCTTGTTCAGCTCAGCACCTCAGTTTCCTCAGTTGCACTAGGGGACTACACCTGCCTCCTGGGGTTTCTCTGAGGACCAAGTAGGTATAACTGCACTGGCCCAGTGCCACTGTGTGCTGCACTTCCTTGCTCTGACACTGACCTCCTAGGCTGTTGGCACCTCGCTGCCATCCTGCCCTTTGCACACTGGCATAGTCACGAATCTCACATGCATAGGCAAGACTAACTTGTGAAAGTACAATGCAAAGTTTCACATTAAAAGGAGTCAGAAATTCTAGCTGAGACTTTCTCAAAGGATCCAAGTATCAAGAAAAGCGGACTAGCACAATCAGTACAATGTACTACTTCCCGTCTGGAGGAGACAGCCCTCTCCACGTGACACCACAGGCTCACTTCACTACAGATCCTCCTCCCTTCCATCCACACCTAGAAAATCACACAGTGGTCAGCCACTGACATTAACTGGAATACACATTTACTAGTTTGTTCTCTGTGCTGTGGAGAAGACAGACAATGATGAAAGTCTAGAAGGGCCCAGTCTCTGGGGACTCACCAGGCACTATTGACAATTGGGTGCATCCTGTCCATCTTTTGTCCCAACAAAAAATTTTAAGAGTTGACCACTCTTTAAATGCAATAGAACACATAATTAGCTAGTGTATTTTAAAATTTTACTACTATCTAGTTTTACTAACTTACAACCAGCAAATCTTTAATCACTTGGTGTTCTGGAAATAAGACTCTTGCTTCTGGTAGCTAAGAGGAAAGAATGGGTCAAAGACATCTGTCCATACAACTGTCCAAGGCATGACTTAGGTTTGTTTAGGGCATACTTAATGCTAGTCAGTGTCTACAGAAATCCATCTTACCTGAACGCTTTAAACGGTTCAGCAAGAGCAAAGGTGTGGAAGCTTAATGCAACATTTTATACATTTCCCTCAACATCCTCAGACCTGTCCTTTAACACAGAGAACCAAGAGAACACTGCTGGAGGCAGCCCTTGACTCACCCCTGGGGGACCTCAGCCTGCCCTGGTTGTTTAGGAAGCACCTGGTTCATGAGTGTTCTAGCCTCATTTCTTTGGTAATCTTGTATTTCAGACACAGACTGCAATCATGACTGCACTAGACTCCAGCACCCAAAGCAGTCAGACACTGAAGAGTGTTGACATGAATTCAGCTGGTAATGTAATTCATGAATTGCAAACTATGACCCTCTCTAGAGAACACTTAGTACTCTAGTAAATACCGGTTTGATGTCATAAATGATTTCAGGTATTGGCATATGTGTGAATTTTAAATACACAAAGTACGTTTTACTTGTATCAGGGCAGAAGAACATTTTCTGGTAATTAATGAATAAAATTATAGCAATTATTCAACTAATCTGATTCATATGCTAACAGCAAAGGTTACTGTCTTCTTTGCTATAATATGGTGTAGATTAAAGAACTTAACAGAATACAATAAAATGTGCAGAAGTACTTAAGGCTTTTGAAGTTAACCTGTAATCTTTTGGGAGGAGGACATTGGGAGGATCGCTGTTTGAGCCCAGCTTGGGCAAAAAGTTTGAGAGACCCCATATCAACCAATGGTTGGATGCACTGGTGTACACCTGCCATCCCAGCTATACAGAAAAGCACAAATGGGAGGACTGCAGTCCAGGTTGGCCCAGCCATAAAGTGAAGCCCTATCTCAAAAATAACCAGTGCTAGCAGGGCTGGAGGAGCAGCTCAGGTAGATCTCCTGCCTTGCAAGTATGAGGCCCTGTACGACCAAAAAAAAAGTAATGGTGTAGGTAAACAGTATTTTCCACCAGGTAACTGTGACACTCAGAGGAGGGACTATGACTCTGTCTGTGCCTGCAGCACTGGAACTTTGCACACATACCTGCAGCCTGGGGAGAAGGGAAGGCAAACAGCTGGAGTTATCAGGAAAACAGGCAACCCCACCAGCCAGCCATAATTTTGAAGAGACGCACACTGCACGCTGGCTGGCTAGCTAGTTGGTCCCAAATTCAACCACTGCCACTTTGGTTCCTATACCAGATTTGCAAAGTCCACGTAATTCTTAGTGGACTTAGAGGTATTTGTTTAAAGCAAATGCTTTACTTTTTGCTTAATAAAAGAAAACATTTTATATAGAAATGCTAGCAATGCACCATTCACACACAGAGGGATGGCCCCATAAGACACAACAGTGCAGTGAAGGAGAGCTGGGCAGAGCTGGGGGTTACATCACACTGTGAACTTTTAATCATTTTCTGTACATTTAAGATATGCTGTTCTTCTCTTCTATAAAATATGCCTACCCTAGGATAAATGGTAAAGACTAAGCTTATAAAATATTCCACTTACTAAGTAACCCAGAATATTGAAATAATAAGGTAATAATACACAGAAAAATGTTTTGTATGCAGCTTATCATTCAGCCAGTTAAAATGAAATGAGCTTTATTAGAAGGTGACAGGAAACCAAAGCCTTTGATCTTTCTAGTCACAAACATGTGTTAAGACTAAACCTCCATGGTGCTCTGCTCAAAGACAGCCAGGTTAAGCAGTCACCTTTTTAATGAAGGTCTTGGTGAACTTACCCTGTCAGGTAAGTGACCCTAGAACTTAACACAATGACAGAAAATACAATTTAGACTAATTTTACATACAAACAAAAATGAAAATTTAATCTGATAGCTAATTTTCTGACAGGAAAATTCCTATAAATTAGATAAATATACAAATTAAATTAAAATGTACAAATTAAAAACATGGACACCACTATTTTTTATAAGCCAGGGGTATTATGGGAAATGAGTGCATGACATAATTCAGATATTTTCTTTTTTTTCAAATATTTTCTTATCTGCAAAACTAACTTCCCTTGAAGTTGGTATAAGGATACATTACTTGATAAAAAATACAGATATTCAGTTAAACAGCCACTGGTAACAAGGACGCAGGGCTGAGCAGAGGGACGGCAGGCAGCAGGTGTGCAGACCTGCAGAAGGCAGGGCTGCTGGGTTTTCTTCTTCCCTTGGCTAACTGATCTTGGATCCTGGCTAGAATTAAATGCATACCAGTGGCTTATGAGCATCTCAAAAAATTGACTTCATTTTTGGAATTTTCCATTACTCATTTGTAGTATTATAACCTTACCTTAGAGACTTTAAAGTTTTTCAAAAGGGGCTTTAAAAAGTTAGATAGAAGGTCTGGGGATATGCTCGACCATAGACATTTGCCTCATGAAATAAAAAATTTCTCTGAATTGAACTGGTTATAGGGCAATGAGCTATGAGCTACTAAAAAATCCAGAAATGCAGGGAGCCCTTTGCTACTTAACAAAATAAAGATGCACCGGCGGGTATTTTTATGATGGTATCTGCAATGGAAAATACCATGACTAGAAAACTTATCAAACAGTTAAACTTCCATTACTGTTTAAAAAAATCCAAGCCCTCCCTCTTCCTCCATCTTTTTTCTCAAAATAAGAAACAACACACAATGAGAAGAGGAGGAAGAGGAAGAGAAACAGAGGAGGAAGGAAAAGAGAAAGAGTAGATGTTGGCAGAGGAGAAACAGAAGGAAGACATTCACACTGTGCACCTCAGCGTGTTCCTTGTTAGGCTAGGCAATAGGAACCCACGTGTGGTTAGTAAGAGTTAACATCTGGCTCAGCCGTTCATACCCTCAGAGTCACAGGGCCTGGTGTACCAGGGACAGAGTGCAGAGACGGGGAAGACGCAGGGTTTATGGGATCAGGAGAGAGAAATTTTTCAGCAGAATTAACAGTCATGTGGTAGATATGCTCAAAGTTGATCGGTGAGGAGATCAGACCGGAGTGATGATGAGGGAACGGGTAAGGGAAACCTGGCTATCAAAAACAACAGAGAGAAGAAAAAGGTGTGAGGTGACATGGATGGATTCAACGTGACACTTCAGACAACATGCACATAGGAAACAATGTGTCTTACATCAGAACTGGGTCCTGGTGAAATATTTTAGGCCTTAGAAAGTTATACTTTGTAATCCTCTTGCCAGTTAAATAGAAGATCATTCTACCGATAAAATTGTTGCTTCATTACCAGAGTTAAATGAGTAGAAGCTAGACTTTTAGAGATGCAAGGAGACTTTTAGAGTTTAGTTCAATGTTTTCTGATGTAACATAATCAAAACATGGCAAAAGTCTACTCAAACATTAAGCATAGAAAAGCAGCAAATGGTTAAAGGAAATGACAAGAGCGCCTACAGTGGTTTTTAGCTAGATGTGCTGCAAAGCTGCTTCATTAGAATCTAAAATAACTTACAGTCATTCCTAGTACAGTACTCATAAGCTAATGATAGGGGTTGGAATTTATTGGTCTTATTCTCCTGAAACAATAGTGAATAACTAACAGGAAAAGATTCAGGAATTATTTAGGTGTAAAAGAAAGGTTTCTTTGAAATACGAAGTGTAAGATCAGCACTTTCTAAGTCATTCCAAAAAGAAAGAAAACTACTGATATGCATATAAAGTTCACTTTAAGAACAAAAATTACTTTGTTTTTTTTTAGAGAGAAAGCGCTCTGGGCAAGAGCTACAACCCCAGTCCAAGAAGCAGAATTACTTAATCTTAAAGCCCCAAGAGGCCACTGAACTACATATTTTACTTTGATTAACCACTTTAGGGATGGGTAAAATATGCTGTGCTAGAAATATAGAGGCAAAACACTATTCTTGCATTCAGCTGGAGAAAAACATTGTCCCACCTCCAGCAAGCACTTATAAAAAACGTAAATAATAAAGAGGATTCAGGAAAACTAGTTTAGTATATCTTTCTAAAACATTCTGAAGTGAATATACTAAGATATACACCATCCTGTATGAATTGTTTATTTTGTCTTGGCTCACTAGGATACAAATGGAAGGTTCATGTCTGATACAGAAAATGACTCCATTAGCTGTACTATTCCTTGCATATTTAAGAGGCCATCTTATTTCAGGATCATACAGTATAAAAGAAACAGAATTATGCTTGTAAAGGTAGCAGATAACTTTCTAAGCTCCTGAGTATTTCACAGGAAAGCAATACTGATCTCAATATGGTGAAACATAAAAATGGGTACATGCACTTTGCACAGATGGTAGCTTGTGGCTTTGGTACTTAGAGGCACTTATGTATTAGTAGATGAATTTAATTCATCTTTGCTTTTGGAAACAGTTCATAATTCCATTTCAAAGGAAAGAACGTATCAAAATCTGAGAATACATTAAAGACTGCAATCTTTTCAAAACCATGCATGCTGATATAGACATGCATACTATTATTTCCAGACATGCATATTACTGCATTGTTTGTTGATGCCTACCCATAGATAGCACGGTCTTGGCACACAGTTAAGTGCTCGAAAGGTATTTGTTAAATGACTAAATGGATGTCTATAAAAAGCCTCAGTTCATGTGTCCTTTAGTAGTGAAATGAGAAAAGTCACGTGAAAGTAACAGGAAAGGAATACATGAAATCTTTGATGCATACAACATACATGTGAGGAAAAGGTTTCAAAAATGGACACCAACTTCTTGTCCTGGAAATACAAAAGTCTCACATAATAAACACCAGTGGAATGCAAGGACTTTAAAAACAGGATTGAGTTGCAGAGAGTCACTTGTGACAATGTCTGAAAATTCGACAAGGTGGCCATGGGGCTAACAAAACCAGGCAACTTTAACAAACACCAAGAGCCAAGAGGTCTGAACAGAACCAGCAGCCACAGAGGTCACGCGCTGCGGAGCCAGGTGAGGTGAATCTTTGGCAAATGCTATCTCAACTTGTTTGGCTTAGGAATAAAAATAAAATAAACAAAAAATTACAGATTTCTTGTGCTTCAAGTGGAAGGAGGGTGAGGGGAGAAAAAGTAAGGTCGAGGGAGGGTACCTTGATGTGAAATTTCTTACAATATTTGAAATCTGCTATTTTATTGTCAGGGCATATAGTCTTATTGGGTACAGAGGTCTGAAAAAACTTTGAAACAGTAGCAAGATGACTTTTCACTTGATGGCAAAACATTTTATTAAATATTGAACTATTCCATCTTAAGGAAAATATGCAATATTACTCAATATAGAACAATTTCTACAGAAGTTTTCTATGACTCTTCTTACTATATTGTGGAAAGTATGACATGAAAATGCTCTGTTCTGTGCTCCAGATGAACAAAAGTAATCCCAGCTATTCAGGAGGTGGAGGCAGGAGGATTGTGAGTTCAAGGCTAGTCCAGGCAAGATTATTGAGACTCTATCTCAAAAACAAAAACAAAAGGGCTGGGAGACTGGCTCAAGTGGTAGAGTGCTTGCCTAGAAAGCACAGGCTTTAGTACCAACAAAAAAAAAAGTGAACAAGATCTTAATTTTAAAAGGATAGCATCTGTCATTAACTGCTGAGTATTTTGTATTTGCTGCTGTGTTGTTCTGCAATATATGCATGCATCTGAACTTTGCATCATTCTATTCTGTTGAATGTTATCTATGTGTCATTTATGAAAAACTACTTACAAACTAGAGTTCAAAAAGTTACACAGCACTGGATCTTTCCTATATAGGCTGTAAATATATTCACATTTCAACTGCTGGCCATATTATAAAAAATTCTCTCTATTAATGTATTTTGTGACAGACATTATAACTTCCATAAGGAAAAACAAAACAAAAAACCAGACATTTTGGGCTGTGTGATTCTGTGACACTGATGTCTGAGGTCTAGAAACAAATGCTCAAAATGGGAAAAGAACGGAGAAAAATTTGAGCTCCTGCTCCAGGTAAAAGCTGAAAATAGTACAGCATTTAAATATGATAGATGAGTAGCCACTTGCTTTATTTATTTATTTGTTTGTTTGCTTATTTACTTATTTATTTTGTGGTGCTGGGGATGGAACCCAGGGCCTTACACATGCTACGTAAGTACTCCACCACTGAGTTGCACCCAGCCCCAAGTAGAATGCTTTTAATATTTTGTGCTCAACCTTAAATTTTTACTTGGTTTTACTGTAGAAAGACTGGCTATAATCTAGTTTTTGCATGCTTTATTTAAATTTACCCAGCACAGCTAATAAAGATGTCCATTTCAAAAGCGTGAGTGATTACTGTGAATGATTTGAAGTCCATCAAGGAGGTCACTATCATCAAATAACAGCAATGCTGAGATGATGACGACAATGTCCTCAGGATGAGAAAATAACAAGGCAGGGCCAAGCGATTACAGCAAAGTACTCAGACTCAATTGAATGCTGACTAATTTTTTTTCTTCCCCTAAAATAAATACAAAACTCCCTTTATCAGTGAATTTTAAGGTTAAAAATCTGATTGCACATCAAACTATACTACTTCTTTTCTCTCTTAAGTTCTTCTTCACAGTGTTGTTGGTAATGTGGTTAATTTAAATCTTTCCTTAGAGATTTGGGTCAAGATTCACAAATTGCCATAAAATATAAATAATACTTAAAAGTCTATGCAAAGTTTAGCTGTTTATCTATTAATGAAGAAGGTCATATTAAATTTTAATAGTGTGTTGGGAGTATGTGATACTGAAATGTTAAGAACTAACAAAGCCTGGATAATTTAATTTAACTAATATTCTTTTTTTTTTTTTTTTTGGTGGTACTGGAGTTTGAACTCAGGGCTTCATGCATGCTAGGAGGTAATCTACCACTTGACCTCCCCTTTTTTTTGTGATGGTTTTTTTTTGAGATAGGGTCTTGTGAACTATTTGCCCGGGCTGGCTTCAAACTGCGATCCTTCTGATCTCTGCCTGAGTAGCTGGGATTAGAGGCGTGAGCTACTGGTGCCTGGTCTTCACTGATATTCTTAATCTCAAAATAGTATGTCTGAGAGTCCAATCTCCATAACAGTTTTCCTGTTTATAATTGGGCAACTTTAATCTCACAGTTAGCTGAGAAGTGTGACTATTGATGACCAAGCAAATGTGGATTTCTGGGAGAAAAAGGACCAAGTGTCTGCATTAGTGAAATTTTAGTGATCTGGTAACAAGTTCTGAACTTGGAATAGAACCTCTTCAAATATGACAATTTTTTCACCAACAATAGCAAATTCAGGTACGGGACACTTTTCTAGGGTCTAGAGCTCACGGTACATCTTGAACACACCTATGCGGCCCATCTATGCCCCACACTGGTACCTCCTTCTCCTCACCACTCATGGTCACATTCGCTCTTCATCCTCTTACCATGGGCAGGTCTTTTAGGATCTGTACTCCATCTCCAGGACCCATGTGTGCTATGTGGTTAAAGTTAGTTGGGTTAGAAATTAATTTATTTCTCATTTCTGGATCTCGTAGCATCTCCCTGCAAGGCAGAACAGCTGTTCAGATACTTTCCTCACAGTCAATCTAGATAACTTCAGAAAAATCATCAAATATACTTTATTTTTATAAAAACAGTTAAATCATGTAAAAACATAATTAATTATGCAAATTTTTAAAATGCTTTGGTTTTAATTTTGAATAAAAGATCTGATGATTTTTGACGGCCTTTTAACTACTCTGCTTGTGCAGTGCTAGGGTCAAACCCGAGCCCCCCCTCATGCTGGCCAGGAGCACTGCCACATGCCGCATGCATCACAGCCTGAAAAGGCCTCTTAACATTTGGATATCGAAGGACCTCTGCTCCAGTTAGCAGACAATTCTGGATTTTTGTGCAGATCTTTAAAGTCACTGATAATACTTTACAAACGATTCTATAAATGAGCCTCAAATTTCTGTTTGCTCACGAAGAGAACAGCTACTCTAAATTTCTTAAGCATATACAAGTTTATGATACACACAGATAGGACTTGTGTAAATATGTATAAAGGTACATACTCCCAGAATTGTAATTATTCCATGTACTTACAGAAATAAATCACTATGGTTCTTCATCCAGCATACTCTCCTAAATGACCCTGAGAGGTTACACTCATTACTGCAGATGGAGCCACCGAGCCACACCCCCAGCCCTGCAATTTCTGCCACCCTAGATGAATGACAGATTTTCTTTCCAAATCAAATGCAGTGGGCGTTATTGGAAACAGACTTTGAAAGCAGGGCATGGCCGCGCATGGCGGGGACCACTTACCTCCTCTGCTGCACCCGCTCCTCCTCTGGGACTCTGAAGGAGAACCGTCGCTTGTTGCTGATGCTTCTGACCATCTGTTTCCGACTGTTGTCTGATGTTTCAGGGACTACAAGTTCATCCCCTTCTGTTAAACAAAGAATGATGAAGTTGTTTAAACTGCTACAATGCTTTTTAACCCATGACATCACGACCATGTACAATATGTGTAGCTCTGATTTTTAAAAGCACTGATAGTCATAGGAAATAAGCAATACTTTTCAATAGGACATGTAAAAAGATACATGCTGAGATTAAGCAGAGCTCACACCACATTTGGACCTTTGCCTTGGTGTCCTGTCACCCTAACTAGCCACCTTGGCCTTAGTGTCCTTACACTACCTTTTTCTCCCTGCAGGTAGTGTCTCCAGGGGCTGCTACTGCGGAGTGCTGCTGAGGATCAGACCTGGGCTCGCACAGGCCAGGTAAGCCTCTACCTTCTCTACTCACTAGGTATGCCACAGAAAAACAAAGCATGTAAAAACTGCATTCCTGGCTTAAGTAGAACCACTTCTGTGGTTCTTATCTTAATATATTAAGACAGAATTTGGCCCTGGCTGAGATCACAGACTCTAGAATAAGGACCCTGACATGCACTACTCACGCGAGCTTGGGCTGAGATAGTATTTCCATGAAGCCATCCTATTAATGGAAGTATTTTCTTACCTGCCATCTTATTTTTGAAATATATTAATCTAATTGTCTCCAACCCTAGAAGATTTAGTGATCCCTCACTATTCAAAGGTCGAACCTAAAATAATAAAAATAAAGTTAGTATTTCAACATAACCTTTAAAAATTTAATCATAAAACTTTTGGCCTATTCATATAGCAAACAGTATTAAAACCTTTCATTTCTTTCAAAATATAGTCCTCTCAGAAAAAACGTCAACAAAAAGCTAATAAGCATTCTGACTGAGAAGGTATAATATCAGATAATGTGAAAAAACAAACTTGTAATGACATTTTAAAGAAAGAATATCCTGGGAAAATAAATAAAGGTAAGAAGAAATATATTTAAACCTTCAACTTGACTTTTTAAAGCTATCAGTGAGCAAGTTATTAGATTAAGATATCTGCTTTGTGAATTCCTATCAAAAACTAAGTGTCCACAAGTGATGAAGATGCATGTGCCAAGGACTGGGAGGAGGACAGGTCACAACAGGGGAGGACTTACCCACCACTGCTAACCCACATCATACAAGGAAGCCCAACCAACCAGTAAGAAAAGTAAACCTAACATGGAAGAAGAGCGCAGAACATGATGGGGAAGCCTGAACGACGAAGGAAAATGCAACAGATTCCTGACCACAGTTAACTGGGGATGTGCACACTGACACTTCAGGAAATGCCACCGTCACCTTACAAACCCTGTCCTTCAGAGGGTGAGAGTGTCATGTGGTAGCATTACTTTGGAAAATGGTATGACACTCTCAGAGACCTGAGCACTTGCATTCCTGTACGCCATCAATTCTACTCCCAGGCACTGATGTAAAGAATCTTCATGCCTCGCCAAGACGTAGGCTGCTAAAAGCTAGGAAGTAATTCAGCATCTGCTGGTCAGAGAGTGGGCAGATAGTCCAGTCTGTCCTTCAGAAATGGATGTATTTCTAGAAATAAGCACTTACGTGTATATAATATATATGACATTCAGAAATGTTATAAATAAATATATGTAATACACCTTTTGTGCTGCATGAAAAGACAACGATACATGTAGCACATGTATAAATCTTAGAAACACAGTGATCAGAGGAAGCAAGGCAGACAGTTATATCCAACCTATTAGGATATATTAATAAATCTCAAAGCCAAGAAAAACTAAGTAATATTGTTGAGGGATGTTTAAAGTGTGAGCCCTCTGAGTTTTAAGGAAGGCAGCAGGATGGTCAGTGGATGTTCAGGACAGTGGTTTCTGTGTGGAAAGGCAGTGGAATGGGATGGACAGAAGGACAAGGTGATGCTCTGGTCTCAGGTAAGGAGGCCAGTTCCCAAGTCGCCAATTTATTATTATGCTTTCTATATTCTTTCATACATATTGGGAAAATTGCGTGAAAAAATTACACAGGAAGCTGGCTGCAGGCTGCCCAAATGTATAAAGCAGAGAACAGTAGTCTAGTTGCCTTATATAACGTGGCAATACTTACAAGAGCTTTGTCACTGCCACTGTGGTTTAAAATCGGGCACACTGTGGCTTGGCTGTGTTCCTCACTACATCGCCCCTCACTAAGGAGACTCTGCTACATGTGTCATCTACACTACAAGACGCTACTATGCTTCCTTCTTGCAACACTTTTATGATATGGAAACAGAAATGTTAAGGGAAAATTTAGGTTGTGTTATGCATACGTGAAGCTTCTATTTTTAAATCATGAGACAAACAGTTTTGGTTATGAGATTAATCACTTTCATTGGCTGTACAATCTGTCTCCACAGGACTGAATGCGCAGACCATTATGTGAAAACGTTGTAATTAATAACACTCACATAACTCCCTCAGAGATCCTTAACCCAGAAGCAGAAGATGACACCGGCATTTTAGGTTGTAGGATATATTCTACTGTTCACCATGATAACAATCAGAACTTACTATTACATGCAATACAGATAGCATGGTGTTGAGCTCCCTGCCATAAGATTAATCTGCTCAGCCATGTTTGAATGCTGAATTACCTTTTTGAGAGGAAGTGTCTGGATCCACTCCATGGAGTTGACATCAAAGACATCCACTGCATTCTCACTGTACACTGAGAGGTACGGCGCACTGTAACCTGGGAAAGAGGGGACACTGCTGAGTTTGGGAGCTATTGAACCCAAGCATTTGGAGTTCCTGCAGAACAGGTGTCTCACCAGGAGCCTACAGTCATCACATTAGACCACATCAGAACAGTTTTGAAGTAAACAGAATATAAACCATAAAGGAAGAATTGACACACACCGTTCAGCTCATACTGTCCCTTTAATAAAGAAAGGTTCTACCAATACCTTGTCCAATAAATGCATTGCATTTTAAAGCATTTGACTCTTAAGCGTATTTAAGTTTGTGACAGTGAAACAAATTTACAAAATGGAGAAATCTCCAGGGAAGTGTTCTAGTCCCAGTTATGTCTGATAAAGCACCTTAGCAATGAATAGGGCAGATGCTCAGTATACATTTGTTAGAAGAATGAGTGTTACCAGGCATGGTAGTGATGCCTATAATTCCAGCCACTTGGAGGCCGAGATTGGAAAGACTGTAGTTCCAGGCCACCCCAGGCAAAAAGTTATTTTAATCTCAACACCACCTCAACAAACAAGCCAGGTGTGGTGATACATACTTGTAATCTCAGCTACACAGAAGGTATAGGTAGGGGGATTGTGGTCTGAGGCTGGTCCTAGGCAAAATGTGCACGATTCTAACTAAAAAAAATAACTAAAAAGAAACAAAACAGGGTCTGAGGGTGTGGTTCCAATGGTAGAGTGCCTGCCTAGCAAATGCCAGTACCATCCAAAAATAATCAGGAATTAGGACCAAGTATTAAATAAATGGTGACACAAAGAGCGATTAAATGATTTACCCAGACCAAGACAATGGATTGAAATGGGAAAAGCTACAATGAAGCCAGATATTTCAAGTGTTCTGATCACTCTGATTTACCTAGCTACAAAATGGCACTCATTCTGCATATGATGCCATGGATACAAACACACTCTTCTGAAGAAATAACCCTGAAAAGTCTGGCTTTCCTGATTGTTCTGTAATATGCACTTTCTGTCCTTGTCCTTGTAAATTCTCTACCACTAGACTTCTGCACCGACTGGTTACCCTCCACCCTCCTACTCTGCCCTGCTGCAGTGGAAGAGCCCTCACTCCTCCCAGGCGTCCTCTGCCCTCTGGGCTCTGCCCTCCTTGTTGTCTTGGGGATCCTATCCTGGTCTCTGGAATTCCCAGTGGTTCCCCAGGGGCTCTTTCCTTTCTGTACCCATAACCCTTTCCTACTGCACCCCAGGCACTGTGAGGGCAGACTGTCACCATTTCCCTCACAGAGGGAGACAGGTTGTATTAATAATGACCAAGTTATTATTCAGTAATGAAAGTATCCAATAATTAATAATGTCTTAGTATTTCCAGGAAGAATGAAACAAGCAATTTTAAACATCTACCTGTCAGACAAAAATGTAAGAGTAACAGTTCTTACAGATGCTGTATTATTGATAATTCACTCAATTACTGGTTCTCCAGGGTAAGTCCTATGAACTATTGCTACATAGGAACATTGTGCTTTGGGGGACAAAAAAGATTACAATTTGGGGTTATTTCAAAGCACAAAAGAGGATTAAAAAACCCACCCCCACAAAATGCTCCATAGAAAGATCAGCTTAAATTGCATGCACGGTCATGCTGACCCTGTTTGCCTTGCCTTGTGACATAAACAACACAATAAACATTTTGGAAAAACCCTGAGAATGGTTTCCAAAACCAGTCTATTATTAACAGTGACTACATTTAGATGAGGTGGAAGGAGGAAGGAAGGAAGGAGATAGAAGGGTGAAGATGGTCACAAGAAGGAGAATCTTACAGCAAGAGGAAGGGTTTGCTGGCCACATCAACTCCTGCTGTCTGGACCTCCGGCCCTGGCAGTCAGTATAGACGCCCATGCTGCTAAAACACAGCAGGTACTCTTTACTGGAGATCTCAACAGCACACATTGCGTCCACTGGTTGATGGGCAATGAAGGACAGGGTGTGGTCATTTGAATGGAGCAGACTGCAGGGACTTCCTTCTGCATTCAAGGGGTATCTGAGAAATCCTGACTGGAAGCCCACACACAGGTGTTCGCTGAAGACGGCCATCCACTGGACATTATACGGGACTTGGATTTCCTTAACTTTCCGGTGGCGGGTCTTGCTCTGGAACAGTTCGTAACAGAGGACCTGCCTTTTCATAGCCACGCACAGGCACGTCAGAGCGCCACGGCGCACCTTCCCAGCAGCTATGGCTTGACACCCCTTAGTCTCTGCCAGCTTGAAAAAGTCCGTCTCTCGCCCGTCCAAGGCCGACATAGGGAAAAGCCGCACGTGACGATTTCGCCCGGAGATCACGGCAACAAGTTGGTCATTTGGAATGAGTTCAATCTGATGAATCTTTTTATTGTCACCGACTCTAATAATTTCTACACACAGAAGCAACAAATGAAATGCAAAACAGTTTTGTTTCCCAGCCATATCCCAACTATACTTGTACATCTACTCACAATAAAGACACACATGCACAGAAGAATACAGGATCAGAACTTGGAGAGAAAAAGGAGGATAGTTAAGCCCAGTGTAAGAACATTTACCTCATTAGAGCAGGTATTAAATTTAGCACTAAGGTCTTTGGCAGCCAAGGCAAAACTCTCTCATGTAAAGTATGCTAGTCCTCCGGGAAAACCCAATTACTGGGCCTCAATTCTAGTGAGTTTCATAATGGAGCTCCTATTTTAAAAACTGAGTAACTCATATTTACTTGTATTTCTATGGTGAACAAATTGAACCAAATTTAAATTGCTTATGATCTAACCTGATATAATTTGGTATTTATGAAAACCAAGTCAAATTGGCTCCTCTTTATTTTACTCAGCACTTAATTTTCAGGTTTTTTCTAGGGGAAAAAATCTGTTGTATTGAACTGCAGGGAAAAATCTGAACAAACCTATTTTAGTAGTTGTTACCTCTGATAGCATAACAAACCAGAGGAAAATCAAGCTGTGTTTTTCTTTTCTGTACTATCTTTAGAATTGCAATGTGAGCCATACAGCAGAACTGTTAACTAAAATGACCCAGAAACAATCCACAATTGAAGTTGTAGAACTCAGAGGAATTATAGAACTAAAAAATCATTTGATTCAGAAACATGAAGGGCTGACAGGGTGACTGAAGTGGTAGAGCACCTGCCTAGCAAGTATGAGGCTCTTAGCTCAACCCCAATACTACCAAAAAAAAAAAAAAAAAAAGAAACCAAATTAAAAGCCTAGAAAATTCCAGTTATGGAATAAATAAGAGCAAATCCTGCTCTTTCTAGAATTTAGATTCAATAATTTTCTAATACATGATTTAAAATTACTGCAAAACAATCAGGTTCTTTCTTACCATCTTTGGTGACATGCACAACAAACAGCCCTTCTTCATTTCCCAAAGCTATCCTTTCGTGATCTGTGAGACACAAGCATGGGACCATTTTATTAGGTAAAAATCATGCAAAGCTAATAGAAGAAACTAGATAACAAGAAAATTCAGCAAAGAATGGAAATAAATAAAAAAATCAAAATATACAATTTATTCGATGAAATTTCCTTTCAGATCACAGTAGTAAAAAGTACAGGCCTTTTAAAGTAGACAATCATTAAAAAATAATCTACTTCAATACCTGTAAAAAGAAGTAAATGTTTATTCAATAAATAATGGAAAAGAATTAAAAACCTAGCTTATTAGTGCCTTAAGTCTAGTTCCATGAGCTGTTTTGGGAGGGAGAGGTTTTGAAAGGCATCTGAACATTACTTGTTGAACTTTTCAGATGTCCTGGAAAGTAACAAACTGTTGGATGTACAAGCAAGAATAAGGCAAAAATGTAAGCCTCTGCATACGGAAGCTGCTTTTTACTGAGGGCACTTTAGGTGCAGGCCCTCTGGGTAATGTATGCCATGCTTTCTAAACTTCTTGGTCACCTCAGCACTACGGAGGAAACTGACGCTCTAAGAAACCAACAGTTCTAGGTCACACAAGTAGAAAACAGGTTAGTGGGTTAGCCTTTATAGTACTACTGCTTTTTCAGAAGAAAAAGCACATTTAATAGAAAGTGTAGTTGTTTGCTGAAAAACCAAGCTTTGACATTGTCTCATCCTGTCAAGAAACACTTGCTGAGCGTCTGTGATGATCTGCATCCCCCTGCACCCCGGATTCTGAGAGGAGAGCCAGCCCCGGCTCTCAGTAAACACATCTGATAGAGGTTATGAACGCATACCTATGATCGCAGCTGCCTGGGTCGTTTTAATGATGGGTAGAGTGCTGTCATAAGCCTCCTTGGGAACATAGACTGAGCGGTCTCTGAATTTGTTTTTCTTCAAAATCTTGTGCACTTCACTCAGGACTCCCACCCACTTACTCTTCTCACTCTCACTATCTGCCAGCATCAGGGTTGAGCACTTGCTATCAGATGTTGAGAGCTGGGAAGCTGTGACCTAGAACAATCCAACATTCACAACATTAGGAAACTGATGCCCTTTATGCAGTTTCAGGATTACGCTGGTTTGCTTAGCACTCACCAATAAAATGAGCATTCATTAAATGATTCCTTCAACAAAGTTTAGCTATTCCTAGTCACAGTAACTAGTTTTCATGACTAGGAAGAGATACTTTATACAATGAAGGACGGGAGTGTAAAGCAGGTCCTGTTAGGTAGTGGGCACTAATGGGAAGGTGAATGGGGAGGTGAAGAGGTGAATGTGGTTGATGTACTTTATATATTTACATGAAAACAGAACAAGGAAACCTGTCCAGATCATTCTAAGTAGGGGGAGGGATAAGAGGAAGAATGATGGTGGGGATGAACCTACCCAAGGCATGTTGTAAGCATATATGGAAATGTCACAATGAAACTCCCTGTACAACTAATACATGCTAATACAAATGTTAAAAGAAAAGAATTCAGCAAAATAATGTACTATAGGAACAGAAGATTTTCTGTTTTATGTAAGTGTGGTTATCTTTATTCCACAATTATTTCTCTCAACCATTAAACTAATAAAATCAACCTCTATTAAAAAGCATTTCACACACCTCAACCAACCTCTGACACTCATACAATCACTGACATTCTAAGTACTAAGTACCAGGGAGAACTAAGCACTTTATCAGAGTTAACCCATTTAACCCTCTTACAATCTTCATGACACAGGAACTTTTATTGTATCGTTGTTTTATATATGAGAAAACTGTGATAAAGAGAAATTAAACAATTTCTGAAGGGCCCACACGGATCCTGAGTCTGTGATCTGAAGCTCCACATCACACTGTAAAAGTCGGCAATGCTCAGAAACACTGACATTTTGTGTCACTTCACACCCATAACTCACATTATCACTGAAGACAATCTATCACTTGAACCAGAATCTAAATGAAGGCTTATCATTATGCAAACAACAGTTTTAAATTTTATACATAAAGAAATCTAAGCACCAAAGGCAGTAAAACTACTCTGCATATTAGTTATAGATAAGTGGCCACTACAGGTTCTCTTGGTGGGTTGGGGGTGAATTAAAAGTTGTCAGCCTGGGAACTGAGAGACTAGGTTTTGTCATGGTAATAAGCAGATCAGACATAACAATAGAGAAGTTTCAAAGCTCTCTATTGCACTAATTGACGATTTTTGAGACCACACTGTGGTAACAGCTTCCCAAGATGGCTAAGAGCAATTCCTCCATTCTCAAAAGGTGGAGTCTTTTTCCCTTCTCCTTTAGTCTAGGATGACTTCATGACTTCCTGTGTATTTGGGGCCTAGTCCTTATAAGGCCTGGCAGTTTCTTTTGCTCTCCTAGAAGCCAGCTGCCCAAAGCTCAGCCACCCTATCAAATGGTTACAGATCACAGAAAGAATCCACAAAGGAGAGCTGAGGTCACTCAGCTGACAGCGGGCACCAAGGCTGCAGACATAAGAGTAAGACCACTTGGACGTTCCAGCCTTAAAGGAGCCGAATGCAGCCACAGCAGTGACCTCAGCTAATACCACAGTTCCTGCTCAGTGAAAAATACAAAAGCATTGTTGCTTTAAGCCACTCAGTTTTGAGATAGCTATAAAGCAAAAGGCAGTTAAAGCACAATTTTTGGAATGAGACCTTTACAGAGAAACCTTTATTTCTTAAAACCCGAGAACCTCCCATCCATCCAACTTTCCAAGAGGCAGTATTCATGTGAAACTGGACTAGGACTCAAAAATATGATGTAGCAGAAACAGATTTTACAGGCCACATGATCCCACACCAACTTTATATACGTCCAAGTATTGGTGATACAGAATATATAAAGGAATATAAGACCTGGTTCTATTCCTAGTAAGCTTATGACTTATATGGAGAGGTAAAACACATTCATTAAAAACAAATAATCTGGGTTGGCAGAGTGGCTCAAGTAGTACCGCACCTGTGTAGCACGTATGAGGCCCTGAGTTCAAACCCTGTACCAATAAACAAATGCCTTAAAAACATAATTCGGTATTCAAATTATAACACACACTTACTCTAAATATACAGGGTATATCTTTTCGACTTGCATGGATAACATCAGAAGCCAATACTGAACTCACAGAAAATTCTTCATCTCTGAAAGAAAAGTGAAACATTCAAAGTTGGTACATGTAGCTTAGGGTGGATGGTTTCACTTGTGTAACCAAAGAGCATGAAGCAATCCTCAAAGCTTAACTGCACAGAACACACAAACTTAATTTTTAAAAAATTGATTTTTATCCACAGTGACAGTGCTCCAAGTAATTTATTAAGACTAACTAAATAGTAGCACATGACCCGAGTGATAGAAATTGCTGGTTTATACAAAGAAGCAAAATCAGTAAGCAAGGCTACATACAGAACTGGGATTTGGACCCTGGGCAGCCTCCAGTGGCCCTCTGGCCTCCATAATAAATCTGACATGTACTTAACTCAGTTCACCTGATGTTTCATTGTTCCTTCAATGTCTAAAATAGACTTCTTCCAAGTTAGGGCATTCCTTGTAATGTCCTTACTCTATTACTAGTACCGCCATCCCCTCAGTCTTAAAGGCTTGACACCTTAGTCTTAGCTTTGATTCTTCTTCCCCCACCATCCCCACTCCTTGAGAGACTCTTTTGAGAGACAAGGTCCAGGCTGGCTTTGAACTCCTGGGCTCAAGAGACCCCTGTGCCTGGGATCCCTTCCTTCCTAATAACTTCAGTCCCTTAGCAAGTTTTTTTTGGCTGCTGTTGTTGAGGGTACTGGGATTTGAACTCAGTGGTTTGTGCTTGCAAGGCAGGCACTCTACCACTTGAGCCATGCCTCCATCTCTCCTTGGCTGGTTTTGCCGGATTTTCTTTGCTGATATTTCTTGCATCAATCCCTCATACTCCCTATTTGAGGAGAAGACACTGTGTTTGACATGCAGGTGGGAAATGCCAGTGTGAGGTACTGAGCCACGAATGGCTATTTCCTAACTGGAGACCCGTATGCGGAAGGGAGCAAGACAGACGTGACAGCTGAAGCCATCACTGATCCCTCTGCGACAGGCCTAGAGCTATGAGAAAAGGTAAAGCAGGGAACTCCCAGGGGCAGGGGAAGAATGTGGAAAATGAGATCAGAAAAGTTTAAGAGCCTCTTACTTAAATGTTTCCTGCTTCAGTAAGCTTTCTGAGAGTTGATGTGAGACCTCCATCCCCTTCCTCACACTAAATCACACTGTCCCTTTAGGCCTGACTATCATACACTCGGCCTCTTTGAGATCCAGCTTCTTTTCCTTGGCACCTTGCCCTCCATATACCACACACCAACCTGTCCTAGAACCACATCTTACTTCCTTCCTGTTTTTTATGACGTTATTACAGTGTGAGTGAAGTAGAAAATCAATATGAATTAGGATTATTCACCTAAAAATGGGAACATAAAAGAAAAATCAGAAATGCACTCATTTTAATGCACAGCGATACACACACCTCATGGTCATGGCTTACCTCATGTCAATCACCTGACTGATGACGACGCTGGGCTGAGACACCTTTCCTTCTGCGATGTCATACAGAAAGAGTTTGAAGTCACAGACCACAGCTAGCGCTCTCTGCCATCCTTTCTTCACTCCCGCTGGCTTAGGGATCTTAGTTTGTGTCAGACAGACAGGCAGACAAACACAACTCAAATGAAAATGTCACAAGCCTCTGTAGTCCCCTGAGAACTGCAGGTGAAAACCTGAAGGTAACGTGCACGGGCGTTAAGTCCGCCACGGTGGTTGGCAAAGTAGAGGGGGACACACAGTCATTAATAACAGAAAAGAAAAAGGGAGAGATGGTCTTTAAACACCAGATGATTTTCATCTTTACTAAAAGAGTATTCATTAAAATAGCACTCATGGCTTTTTTCTAAATAGCACAAAAGACAAATCTGACAGCAAGAAGAACTTCACTTTACATTGTAACTATTACCCAAGGTGACAAGACTGTATCTTTATGATATCTCATAATTCAGGAAAGGCTGATTCTGTGGTGATTTCAACATCTGTTCACCACAAGCTAGAGACCGTACTGAAAGATTTATGATGCTTTAGAATTTATTTCCAAGTAAAGGCTAGGCTTCTGCTTTCTTTGGCAGTACTGGGGTTTAACTCAGAGCCTTGTACTTGCTAGGCAAATGCTCTACCACTTGAGCCATGCACTCAGCCCTTAGGTTTCTGTTTTCAATCATTACTCTGATGAAATAAAATTATTTAAGTGGATTTTATTCATTTAATTTTCTGTCAGGTACTATGTTCATAAAGTGATTCAGTTTTACCTTAATTCATTTGTAATTCTTAAGGGACTAGCTCTAAAGTACCGATACTCACCCTGACGTGCCCTTCGTATGCTGTTCCTACTCCTTTCTGTGGATCCATGCCCAGGGGACCTCTGGTCTGCTCAGGAGGAACAGGACAGGCAGCTGGAGCTTTGTTTACACAAGTTATGTGACACGAGAATCCACATGCTTTTGGAGGGAAAGACACAACGTTGGATAAAAATTCATTTCAACAACAACAAAATTCACGGGCACATCTGCATGCATAGGGCTGTTGGAGGAATGCTTATTTTCACCTCATTTTAAACAACTGTTCATCATTCAAATGCATTCATTTCACTAAGAAATAGTAAATATCTTCTATTATTTGTAATGTTACTGCTGTCTGTTAACATTGGTGATCAAAGTGAGAAGCAAATGAATTTAAAAAATCTAACTCCGGAAATAAAATGGCCGACATAACCATGTACTTCCTAAAGAACTCCTTCGTTTATCTTACTCCTGGTGCTCCAGCCCATGCATCTGCAGTTCTCTCCAGCTTGGAGCCCGACTGCTGCATGGGCCCTACATGAAGCTCTCACGAGGATCCCTGATGAGCATCAAGTCACACTTGGCAAGTTCTGCCAATCTTCTTGAAAGTGAGGTTTTTCACTAACTAAAAAGGTATAAACGAATGGTACAAATTTGGAGTCCTAGTATTGTCTATCCTTAAATTACTACTAGGACAGAGTTAACTGCTGATCATTCAAACTTTCTATGACAGCATAAGAAAGGTGCAGTCATCATCCCAGATGATGAGCTCAGATGTATGGCTCAGAGCCTGTACACTACCACAGTACTGCCATAATCCCTCTGTTCTCACACAGAAAGCTTGAGTCTAAGACAAGATGAACAATAAAAATATACTGGGGTTTCACTGAAACTTGGTTAGGTAAAAATTAAAGATTAAAATACTTAAAAAGACTTGTTGGCAGGGCTCATGGACTGAGGTTGTAATTCCTACTCCAAATGCAGATCTGAACAGTACTAGGGAAAGAGAGGAACCAAAGGGACATCACTGTGACAACATATACACATGGGGAAATGGATTATATGTCACCAGTGGGTATTACAAAGCCAAACCAACACAGAAGCAGTATGGTCTGGTACTGATTGTCAAAAGTTATTCAAACTCAATTTACTTTTACATGGAGTGTCTCACAAATTATAATCTGTTTTATCAATAAGGAAAAATCTCACCTACAAAAGGCAGTGGAAGTAACAAAATAAATACCTATTTTGGATCTAAATCCAATCAACCAGGGAGAAATAAAAATGGTAGGAATCTCTAGAGACTGCAATATTTCAAAAGCCTGTTGGACCAGGGCTGGGTAATCTAATGTGTCCCCATGGCTTTATAAGGTAGGCTCAGAGGGTATGAAGACAATATAGGTACAATCTCATGACATAAAATTCCAGAAAGTTAAGAGAATTTGGGAAGAGCTCAAAAATCCCTGCTGTGGGATTGTGAGTCATTCTGATACATCAAAGATGAGCAGGGATCTAAAGCCAGGTGGATGCCCAGGATTCTTTCTGCTTCACAGATTGTAAAGTGGCTTTCAAAGGACTGGTTAAGGTCCAAGATGAGACAAGCTAGAAAGCTGTTCAAATTCTCTCCTTGTTTGGCTTCAGCTACACCTTCACGATCCATGATACAGGCTATTTCTTCTCAGATTACTTAGCTACTCAATTCTGTCCTCCCCTTGGCTCTGCTCCCCAGGCCTCCGTCACTGCACTGGCTCTTTTCAAACAGGTGCTTTCTTGGGTAGTGCCACTTACACTCATGGCTTAATGCATTCAAATCTTTGAAATCTCTACTTTTTCACCCTGGCTACTTCCTTTGGTTCTAACACAAGTATCTAATAGATTAGTTAATAAAATGCAATCTAGATCTTCCACTTCAGTTGTGAGAACTAACCAAACATAAGGTGAATTTCTTTAGGATCTACTCACTTTCTTCCTCCTTGAAGAAGTCAACTAGACTAGTGCAAGTATGTTATAGAGAGAACATGTGCATCTGAGAGGAGTGACAACATTCCTTTTAAAGTCCCTACCAACAGTAAGGGCAGAAGAATAAAGAAACGGAAACTAGTATTACAATTTGAATTAGCAACTGTTTCCTTGTCCTTTTCATAAGATACACCAGTAAGTCAAATATCAGGTGGTTTTGTAATGGCAAATCTCATTTTATAACAAAGTCGTATTTCTAAAGTCCCAATGTATCTCATTATACTTTAAGGCATAACCCCTGATCTTTCCCCCTCATCTCTGAAAGAGAGCTCTGTGACAGTAGATCTGTCTTTCCCACCCTCCCCCTGTACCCAGTACCACAAGTTCAGAGCAAGCACCTGCTGCAAACCTAAGGCAGATGAAATCAACAGATGGGCAGGGGAAACTTCTGCTATTCCCACTAGGAATAAACCCTCTTGAGGCAGAGGGACATACATTTGTTACCTGCCTACTTTTCAATATAATTTCTCTAATAAGACCCTTAACTCTCATATCTTCTGTTATGTAGGTTAATGGTTTGGGGATGAAAAAGCCACCCAAATAATGAAACAATATATCTCCCTGAAAAAAGTTTCCAGTGAACAACTGTCAAGTTTCTCAAGCATTTGACAGACTTTGGCAAGGTGCTCGGTTTATTGGCTACATTCTTGTTATCCAGGGAAAAGCAAATGACTAAGTGAGACAAACAAAATATATCAGATGTCTCTTAAGGAGAATAAAGTCGGTTACGTGTTAGGGCCAATGAAGCAGTGTGTGTTCTCCTTGTCCTCACCTTCACAGGAGCAGCCCTGTCTTACCAAGCCCACCATCAGAGACGTGCACTGCTGGCACTTGGTGGGAATGGCAAAGGACTTCACGAAGAACTGGTGAGTCTTGCGCTGCAAAACAAGCCCACAACATAGACAGGGATTAGAGTTTTGCCTAGCGCTGGTCCTGGGCCCACACCCACACAATGAGTTCTAAACAGGAGAGCTGAGCTTTCCACTCCTGGCGTCTTTGTACAGCTTCCACTCTCTCAGCACTTTCATTAGGCAACACTGAGCTGGACTAGGCTAAAATGACGTGACAAGTCACATGATAATTACTTCTGAAAGCCCTGGTAAAGAGCACAGAGAAGACTAACTAGCTTTCTGGCCTTTGCTCACAAATCTTGGCTTCGGCATTTCAACAAATTGTGAAATTACTCTTTAATGAAGAGTTAAGTAAAAATTTTGCATAGTTACATCTGTACAAATAAGATAGTTTTAATATGCTGTACACCTTCTTAGGAAGAAGAGTTATGTAAAACTGTGATTTCTACTATAAATCATTTATTTTATTTTGTGGGAGTAAGAACAAATAACATGCTACAGAAATCTGTCTCCTCCCATAAAAAGAGGCAGTGTTACCTCAAGCAGATAAAGAAACACACATTAGTCCCAAGACGGGGGCAGCCCGAATTTCTCATTGAAAACCTAGCAGTTAAGACCTCTCTGCCTTGATTTATGTACATGTGGTAAGTCAATGTGGACTACCTTTTTAGAATTCTCTTTTCTTTTTCAAATCACCTCTTAACATGTTTTAATAACAGATAAATTACAATAATTCCTCTACACCATTATGTGAACTCAGGAGCAAATTACTTAAGTCCTCTGTGATTACTTTCCTCATCTATAAGATAGGGTCAATAATAGTATCTATTTCCTGTGGTAAATGAGTTTACATATAAAATGTTTATAAATATTTGCATAATGTTTATAAAAATTTATATTTATACTATTTTCTATTATTTTACAAATATTTGTATATGTATAATTATAAATGAAGCCTTTCAAACAATGCCTAGCACGTAGTAAGCACTCAATAACATTTCTTCTTCCTTTCTCTCTCCTTCCCTCTCTTCCTCCCATCCTTTTTTCTTTCTTTTTCCCTCCATTTCTCTCTTCCCCCCTTCCTCCCTCCCTTCCTCCTCATTTCTCCCTCCCACCATGGTCCTCCCTCCCCTCTTCTCTCTTCCTTTTCTTGGTGGTACTGGGTTTTGAACTCAAGGCCTTGTGCTTGTTAGGCAGGCACTGTACACTTGAGCCCGTCCCCAGTCCTTTTTGCTTTGGTTAGTTTTTGAGATTGAGCCTCGCTTTTTGTCCAGACTGTTAAATGTGAAGCAGTTACTAAGCAGACTTTAATTTCAATTGAGGGTAACATTATATGAAGCTCTAAAACTAAAGTTAAAAAAATAAATTCTGCTCTCAACTGGGATATGACTTAAACACCACATAAGAAGTTTAAAAAAATCAAGAGGAGAACAGATTATCTTTTTACAAAGAATGACCTGACTGCTGCTGTTAGTCAGAGAATAGAATAAGATTGTCAAACTTAAAGTGGTCATCACCATATGGCCCAACCTGGCAGCATTCTATTCTAGAAGTTCTTCAGACCCTTGGTCAGTTTCCAACAGCACCAAGATATGAATGTTTTCTGTGCAGAACACAGACTGCTTTCTGATCCCCTAGTACCTGTGAATGCCTCCAAAGTGCTACCAACCAACAGGTGCAACCTGCCTGGATTTTATCCACACCATCTCTATTAGTGGAATTCATACCCTTGAGAAAACAGACACTTTTCTTATGTAAGTGAAGGCACTTGTAAAAAACACATGAAATTTGTGTTAGTATTAGCTGTACAAAGGGGTTCCACTGTGGTATTTCCATCCACAGATCTGCTATACTTGCATCAAATGCACACCCTCTTACTTTTCTCCCCTTTCCCTTTTACGATTTTGATGGACCTCATCTCATCATTCTATCTTCAGTGCTTGTGTGTGAAGCACTTAGACCACACTCACCCTCTTCACCCTCTCCTGTCTCTCCTCACTTCTGCTGTTCCCCTCCAAACACTCATCAATTTAACACTGCTGTTCTGTTTTGTTTTTTTAAAGATCTGGATTTCACATATGAGAGAGAACATGCAATATTTGTCTTTCTTAGTCTGACTAATTTTGACTTTAACAGGATGATTTCCAGTACTACTGAGTGCAAACAACACATTTTCATACTTCTTCTGGCTGAATAGTACTCCACTGTGTGTATGTGTATTTCTCTCTCTCTCTCTCTCTCTCTCTCTCTCTCTCTCTCTCTCTACCTGTATCTACCTACATCAATCTATATATACCACACATCATCTATGCATGAGTTCATGGTCACTAAGGCTAACACTATAGTTTGGAGTTTATTAGAACATAACTTTATTACAATGTAAGTTTTGAAGCATTTCCAAATTTGAATTTCACTGTTGCTTGATGTGACATCCCCTTTCTCATTTCCTTCATTCTCTGTTATGTTTGTTGTTTATGTTTCAACATTTAAATCAAACCGATGCATGCATACAGCTGAAAAGTGATAGCATTATAGCACTTTTACAAAATCAGAAATGGCTCTATGCCCCTCTTCCTAGAGGCTCTCCCTGCCCCTTCCCCTCCCTCCCCTTTTCTCCTCCCCTCCCCCTTCCCTCCATTTCTAGCACTGGGGTTTGAGCTCAGAGCCTCATGCTTGCTAGGCAGGTGCTCTACCATCTGAGCCACTCTGCCAGCCCTTATCATTTACCTTAACTTTCATATTTTTCATCATCTTCCAACTCAGTAACTTGCTTTTCTAACTGTATCTATGCTTCTCATTCAATACTAAAGCCATCTATAAAGTTATTTTCTTCAGCAGTTATATTTTTATGTCAAATATTTTCAATTCATTTTTTCCTCATAATTGCTTTATCTATTTTAGGATCTTTATCATGCATATTTTAGGTCCATGTACACTTCCTATTTATATATTATATTATGCCTTCTCTTATTATGTGGTTGATCCAAGGTTTGTGTCCTGGGAGGCACATCATTTCACTTTTCCAATGTCCAGAATTTCTTTATAGGAACTTGAGATAATCTTAATGTTGTACGATAAATAATCCTCTAGTCATGGTTATTTTGAATAGAATGGGGGAAAATGGGGGAGAGAGCCACCTGAGCTTTTCACCAACACCTCCCTTTTTAGGGGTCTGTTTAACCTTAGTCTCAGATCCTTCCACAAGTGGCCTCAACTTGCTGCCTCTTCAGGAACCATAAAACAGGCACTGGAAGGAGCTCCACTCCTCCAAAGACTCAACACACTGACTGTAAAAGAGAACAGTGTGCACTCTTTCTACCTTTCTCAGTGGTGATTATCTCCATGAAAACAGAATTGATTTTCTTTCCAGGATTTTATTATGTAACTTTGAAAAAATTAGTTTCAAAACTCACAGCAAATATAAAAAATATATGAAATTCATTCTTCTCTCTCTCTCTCTCTCTCTCTAATATACTGTGCTTATAAGCAGATTGAGTACCTTAGGTGGGAAGCCAGTTGAACCAGGGCATCCCTTCTTCCTTAAGGTGGGTGTGTGAACTGGAAGTGGAGCAGAGTCTGCGATCTGAATCCGGGCAGAAAAGGGGATAAGAGTCACGAAACACGTGTTTACTTCAAACAAGCTAGAAAAAACCAAAGTAAGAAAGCCACACAAAACACCACTGACATCAAAGTTGCCACAGTACTGGTAATTTAAATTTCAGTCTGCAATATTTACAAATGAAATATTTGTTCAGTTAGTAAAAAATTATTTCTATCTGGAAATTTAAAAATAAAAAATTTGGAGAAGAAAATCCACAGAGGAAAACAAACCATAGCACATAACCTACATAAAAATGAGGATATCAGTTTTCATACTCATCTGAATTTGCCATGTTGATCCTAAAAGGTATCTGAGATTTCAGCATGCTTGCTAATAAAACATCTGCAAGATTCTTTTTGACTACTTGCCTTCCACATTTTATAATACACACTATACATGCGGAATACAATTCTGTTGATTTAAGTAGAGATTAGTGGGATTTTTTTTTTTGCAGAAATTAATTTTCAAATAAGGAAGTTAAACTACTTAATATACTGGAATTGTGAACTTAACAAAAGTTTGTTACAAACTTGCACCTATCTGCATTGGCAGGCAAAATGGATACCATTTCATGGAATATTACTGTGAGACATTATTTTGAGTGAAAGAACCATGATTTTATTGGGTATAATTGTGAAGGGTGGGAAAGACATTTTGCTAAGTTAGCAAAGTATTAAAAAAAAAACATGAAGAATAACTTCCTTTTAGGATACTAAGCATGCAAGTAAGAAAAACAGGCATTTCTTGCTAAGGTGACAGAAAATTCTAGAATACTAAGAGAAAAATGAGTGGTCCTTCTTTGTCTTTGTTATTATATAAGCTCTAAAAATAGACAGTCTGATATACCCTATCGCCTTGAAATGAAATTCAGTTGAGTTTCTCTGGGTTTTCTGTGGATTGTAGGTTTAGCTTGAATTTAAACTTTAATTCTGAATAGACTGAAAAAGTCTGAACCCAATTTATAATTTAACATTTGAGAAAACAAACACAAAAGAGAGGAACACTGAAAACATATGTTTAAGTTAATGAAAAACAATTACTACAAACTGTAATTAGAATTTTAAAGACAGTCCAAGAGAAGTGAATCAATATTGTGAAAATGACTGTATTACCAAAAGCAATCTACATGTTCAATGCAATCTCCATCAAAATTCTAATGACACTTATCACAGAGATTGAAAAATCAACTCTAAAGTTCACATGGAAGCACAAAAGATCACGAATAGCCAAGGAAATACTGAGCAAAAAGAGCAATGATGGAAATATCATAATATCCAACTTCAAACTATACTACAGAACCATAGCAATAAAAACAGCATGGCACTGGCACAAAAGCAGACATGAAGACCAGTGGAACAGAATAGAGGACCCAGATATGAATCCATGCAGCTACACCCACCTGATTTTTGACAAAGGCATGCAAAGTATATGATGGAGAAAACACAGCCTCTTCAACAAATGTTGCTGAGAAAACTGGGTATCTGCATGCAGAAGACTGAAACTAGATCCATGTCTTTCACCCTGTATAAGTATCAACCCAAAGAAGATGAAGGACTTTAGTATCAGGTTTGAAACCTTGAAACAACTATAGGAAAGAGTAGGAAATACACTCGAACATACAGGGATAGGTAATGACTTCCTAAATAGAACTCCAGTGGCTCAGCAAATGAGAGAAAGAATGAACAAATGGGACTGCATTAAACTAAAAAGCTTCTGCACAGCAAAAGAAACAGTCACTAAACTTAAGAGACTGCTTACAGAATAGAAGAAAATCTCTGCCAGCTACTCATCTGATAAGGGACTAATATCCAGAATCTATAGGGAGCTAAAAAAATTCAACCCCAAAGAATCAACATCCCAATGAAGAAATGGGTACATGAATTGAATAGGGAATTTTCAAAGGAGGAGATATAAATGGCTAATAAATACATGAAGAAGTGCTCAAATTTCCTGGCCATAAAAGAAATGTACATCAAAACTATACTAAGATTTCATGTTTTCCCAGTTAGAATGGTATCTTCAAGAACACAAACAGCAACAAATGTTGGCAAGGATGCAGTGAAATAGGAACCCTTATACACTATTGGTGGGAATGTAAATTAATACAACTATTATGGAAAATGGTATGGAGATCCCTTAAAAAACTAAAAATAGAAATGCCATATGATCCAGTGATACTGTTCCTCACCATATACCTGAAGGAATGTAAGTTAGGACACAACAGACACTTGCAAACTGATGTTTACTGCAGAACTGGTCATAATAGCCAAGCTATGAAAACAACCCAGACACTCTACAACTGATGAATGGATTAAGAAAATATGGAACGCACACACACACACACACACACACACACACACACACAATGGAGTTTTATTCAGCTATAATAAAGAAATGAAACCCATGTGGTTTGAAAATAAATGGATACAAATGGAGGACACGATGTTAAGTGAAGTAAGCCAGGCTCAGAAAGACAAAGGCCACATGTTTTCTCTCAAATATGGAAGATAGATCCAAAAGATAAATGTATACACAAAAACAACCATGACCACATACAAACTCAGATGTAGACCATGCTATAATGGTGGAACTACGCTATGGAACTCAGGGAAGGAGGGAAAGGAAAAGAGAACGATAGAGACAAAAATATTGAAATGCAGGACCTATCTGCAGTTAGAGGACGTAACAATATATATGAAAGCTGCTGAAAAATGGGGGGTGTGAGGGGTAAGGGAGAGGAATGGAAGGGGCCAGACTGGCCAAAGTAAAGTAGACTCACAGCAGGAATGGGGGAGTACTTGTGGGAGGGGAGGGTGAATGAGGTGATGAAGGTGAGGGAAGATACACAAAATAGAACAATGGATCCTCTTGCAATTGCTTTAAGCAGGGCAGGGAGAGAACGATAGAGACAACAATGTTGAAATGCAGTACTTATCTGCAGTTAAAGGACATAACAATATATACTGAAAGCTGGTGAAAAACAGGGGGTGGAGAGATTCAGATAAAGTCAAAAGTACATGGATCACTGCCCAGTAATTCCACGTCTATGCATACATGCTACGCAAACTGCACTTCTGCAAAAGCAGATAGATACGAGGATGTTCACTTCAATACTAATCATGGTAATAAAGATGGGAAGCCACCTAAATAGCCAACAACAGAACAGGTAAGTTGTGCATTTTCATACCCTGAAACACTATGCAGCAGTTACCATGAGCCAAATGGACCTGTGCGGTGTGAATACACCTCAAAAACATACTTATGAAGGAAAAAGTTCTACAAGGATACAGGTTACATAGTGCAAAACGTGTGTGTGTGTAAAGCAGGAGAATGTATTGAGATAGAAAAGGAGCAAAGAGTAAATCTCCCAGAGCTTGGAGAGGTCCCAAGAGAGGGTGTCCTAGTGCAAATTTTAGATACATGACAAACATTACTACAGATTACTTATAGACACAAATGAAATAAACATGCAAAACAAAGTAAGGGAGGATGCACACCAGCTTCAGGATATTTAGATCTGGGAAAGAAGAGAGGGGAATGGTATAGGGGAGGATGTTTCACTGTTTCTGGGATATACTCTTTCTAAAATACTTTGGGTTGAGTGCCATTGGCTCAAAGCTGTAATCCTAGCTACTTGGGAGGATGATATCAGGAGGATCATGTTTTAAGGCCAGCTCAGGCAAACAGTTTGGCAAACAGTTCAAGAGACCCATCTCCAAAATATCCAAAGCAAAACAGACTGGAGGTGTGGCTCAAGTGATAAAGTGCCTGCTTTGCAAGTGCAAAGTCTTGAGTTCAAATCCCAGTCCTACTAAAAAAAACAAACAAAAAAACCCACCTAAAAACAAAAATACTCTAGAAAATGAGGCAAAATGTTTGTATGTGCTAAATTTGTGGTTGATGGGTACATGGGTGCCTATTATGCATATGCTTGAAATATTTTATCATTAAAATAAAATTACACTAACCCCAAATATGGTAACAGTAGTCACTAAGAAACCAGAGGGTCTCAGTAACTAAAGCAATCCAAGGGCCCAACACAGGGCTGGGAATGAAGCCAGAGCCGCAGCTCACACCTCACCTGAGACAGTCTCACAGATGGACCAAGGGATTCCGGGGATGAGAAGCAGAGAGGCTCTGCCTGAACAGGGCAGGGTGCACTTGTACAAGATGGTCTCTGGTGAGAAAACTGGCTGACAGATTGTTTAAAGCCACTGACCGACATGGATTATAATATAGCATTTTATACTAAAGGGTATGACTCAGCAGTCCGAATAAAATATACAGTTGCCAGCAGTTTAGTTTTGTTTTGGAGAGAGGGTCTTGTTATCTCTAAGCTGTACTTATGAAGCAATAGATTAGTTGTATCATGGCGCATTACAATGAGCAGAAGAACTCAAATATGAGGATGGCCTCGTGCTTACTGAGCATGTGTCTTCTGTTCTACGCACTCTCTAGAGACTACCCATTTTTGTGAAGGTAGAATGCTATCTTAGGTGATTTCTGGGGATAATTTTCTACCTATTTCCTATCCTTATCTATACTACCATTTAAATATCACAACCTCCAAAAATTATAACTTATTCCCCAAACTGGCTCAGCTTCACTAGAGGTGAAGGTCAGGTGGGCCCTGTCCATGCTCGGGTTCTAGATATGTGTTAGAATCAGTCAGGAAAAGCAAAACCCAAGGAACCACGCTGAAACACTGCTCGGGTCTTAGCAAGTTCCTGTCAGGCACGGTCCTCACAGCAGCACTTGAGAAGAGGAGAGCAAAGTTAATTAGAACATGCGTAACGGGGATGTTTCACTACACAAAAGCACAACCACTAGCTCAGTGCCAACAAGGCCAAGGTGACACAGTTAAGAAAAGGCTCCGGATTCTTGCTGCGAGCACTGGTCTCCACTGCGTGGTCTATGCTCCATGAAGAACCTTCCTATTTCAAAAGACAAATCCTTTGTGTGAGACAAATGCAGAATACTCA